GGCCCGGGGTGGGGGTAGATGCTGCAAGCTCTCTAGAGATATGTAGCTCAGGCGCATCGCTAACTACTTCCAAATTTTTGCTAAGTGGTAGAAATACGGTAGTATCCAGGTCCAGGAGGAGTTCATTTTTGCAATAACTACCGTAAATACTCTATTAGTAAGCCACCCGCATAATGACGGTGCGGAGTGTTACGTAGCCTAGCTTTGAATGACTGTTTCTCGACACTGGTTTATGCTACAATGCGCGCTTAGGTATCAAAAAATAGCTGAAATTCAGGGCTATTTTTTGATACAAAAGACGCATTTTTGAAAGTACGGGCGCTTTGAAAAAAATGAAATACTAAAAAACTTTTGCGACTACGCGACTGTACGAGGGGGGTGGGGTACTATTACAGTATTTACGGTAGCTTGTTTTTCGCTATCTTGCAAATTGTAGTTGACTTCTAGTTGACAAGCTTCCGTTGTGACTTTCAAACTATTACCGACTACCACTATTTTTTTATCTCTAAAAATCAAAATCTATAGTAAATCTTGTTTTTCCCTTCCTTATTTACTAATTGCCAAATATAGAATAGTTTTTGTCTTGTACACTTTAGAGAAAAACTCGGTTTCTTTGATGGATCATTTGACTCGATAGAAAAAGGAAAAAAAAAACACAAAAGAGATTCTCTTCCCTGTGGATTTCTTCAAGTATTGTCTTCTTTTCTCTCAATTGAATGATCTCTACGTAACTCCATATTTGTTTTTGAGCGTTTTTTTTGTCTTTGTCCCTCTACGTAGAATGTTTATATCGTTTTTGTCAAGTTCAAGTAAAGGAAATCTTTTGTAAAAGATTTCTGCAATTTTTTTTGTTCGACTTTTTGAGTCATAGATTTTAAGACGTAGATGAAGAAGAGTTTCTCAAGAAAAGAGGGGGAAATCTGAATACAGAGGAAGTCTTTGTTCAGAAGAAAGAACAATATAAAGTTGGAATCAAAAGCAGTCTAGTCATGCAAAGTGTGTTTCAACTTTGCGGTTCTCTACCTCAATTCGTCTAATCTTAATCTAAGTTGAAAGTTGTCAAAAGTTCCAAAGCTCATATCCATTTGAATCTTTCAATCATCCAAGTCTTTCTAGTCCTAATTCTGAATTATTTGAGTTACTGAGCAATTGAGCCTGAGCTATTTGAGCTACTGAGCAATTTGAGCTAGCTAAGTCTGAGCTAGCTAAGCTATTTGAGCTACTATTTGCTCTAGCTAGCTAAGTCTTCAGATTGGTATAAACTCCAGAATTATTATCTTTCATGTTTTCTTTTTGGGTTTAACATTTAATCGTGCTCCTTGTCTCAGACACATGTTTTGACAAATGATATCATTGCGACGATTTATTTTTTCAGTCACATTTAGTTAGTTTTCTAAAAGGTTTTATTTCTTCTTCCATTCTTTCATTGAAAAACTGTCCTCAGTAAATTAAATGAAATTTTTCATAAAGAAAACCCTGAACTCAATTTTCTTTAATTTTTTCTTTGAACCTTTGATTAAAAGATATTAGAACCATATTGGAACCATATCCGAACCATATTGGAACCGTATCCGAACTTCTTTTCACTAAAATAATATAGCAAAATGTCACAAGCGATTCGGTGTACAAATCCAATCTTTTTATTGTTTCATTTTCTAAAAGCGTTTGTTTTGATTACTATTTTTGACCCAAAAGGGGCAGAGATTTGATTTTTTTTTCTCTTCTCGCCTCTTTTTGGAACACAACTTGTGTCTTTCAATGGAGAAAAGAGAAAAACACAGTCACACAGAGTGGCTGTTTATGCAAGACTTCTACAACATAAACAGTGACGTATTAATAATGTACTTGTCGTTTTTTTAAACGATTGAAAGGAGGGATTTGTTATTCAGTTGTCTCAATGATCGTTTGAGAAGAGCACATTGAAAGTACCTACATAATATTGAGAAGAGGAGGCTTTGAGTCTAGACTTGTTTCTATTTTGTTCTTATTGTTGAATCTATCACTACTTATCATTCTCATTACTTATCATTATCAATCTCTACGATTTGTAGATCTGTATTAATGCCATAGTCTAAGTATTCAGCTTTTTCTACTTTGCCATTTTCATTCCCTGAACTCCAACTGTTGTAGCACCAGTTTTTTAAGATGAACTTCCATTTGAGACTAGCTTTAAACCCAATTTCAATAACCAAAAATCTATATCTTCTGTACAAGTCAAATAAAATCAAAAGATCAACCCCACCCGGATACTAATCATTTCAACTTTCTCACTCGTTTTTCCCTCAATTGTGACTCATTCCCCGATGCACGCCCTTACCCAAAAAGCAAAAAGAATAACTAGATAACAATAGAAGAATTTCAAAAATCCTATTCAATTCACTCATCCCAAAAATCTATAAATAGATCTATAATAGAAAAATTTCCAAAAGGAGTTCACTCTGAGATAGTGCAAGAGTTGCAGCAAGTTGTTTTCAACAAAGTAAGCTTATTTTTCTATATTCTTTTTGCAAAGTTATTCAATTTCTAAAAGCTTCTATGTTTTTTTCATTGTCATTTCGTTTCTGTACTTAGTTTTCAGCAAGAATTTGTTAAACAAAGCTTAATACTTGTTAACAAAGCTTAACAAAGCTTAACAAAGCTTAACAAAGCTACTGACCTTGCTTGGCTGTAAGTATTCACTTTATTGTACATTTTGTTTCAACTTTGATCCAACTTTAAAACGAAATCTTGAATGACTAATAGACGGAAGCACTATACGAGAAGAGCTGTTTTTCCAAAGCAATTCAAGAGCTTTTCGATGGTCAAAGAGAAAATGGAGAAAGAAAGCAGTGTTTTTGTGATGATGTATTGTAGAAGAAATGCCCGAAGGGTCCTTCAAAAAGCAAACATCCAACCGGTCGTCCACCCTCGCTTTCATCCACTCACTGATTTTCCTTTTGTTCCCCCGCGGTCATTTCTCTCTTTTCCTTTCCTTTCTTTTCTTTTCTTTTCTTTTCTTCTTCTAAGGTACACGCACACACGCTTTTGCGTGGAGGTGCCCACCCCAAAAATGGCCAAAATTTCATTTTCATCACACTTGGTCCTCTGCAAATCAGTCACGTCATTTCCTTGCGTTCCTTGCGTTCTTTCCTTCGAAATTAAGAGCTTAGTGCTTCTAAAATTTGGTCACATTGTTCGAAGATCATTCACGTCACATTCAAAAGTTAGATCTCTATATAAGAAGCCGATTTGGCTCAATTTCTATGCAAGATTTTGATTCAAAAACCTCAGTCGATTTTGATTTTCTTGTCATGAAACTTTTCATCCTCAACTCTAGGCTTGAAATCTTCAAATCAACCGGTTCATTCATAGAGGAACTCGTGGGAGTGTTCTTAAAGCTTAAGTTACTTACAACACCGCTTTCCTTATCAAATCTGTCAATAAGTTGCTTCACAACACCGTCACCCCTTTGTCTTCAGATTTCTAATCTATCAGTTCCCCATTTTCCCTTTTCTAAGTACAGATCTCCGTTTCATTCTTTTCCTCTATTTAATCCTTTGACTTTTCCGCTTTTCAAAGAACTTTTACGCATGAATGGACATTAAATAGGCGTCACCCACCTTCACTTCACCAATTCAAAAAGGATTCAACTCCAAAATTCACTCCAAAATTGGCCCTCCAAATTTAGACTCACAAAGAAAAATTGTTTCAAATTTGTTTCCCGTTTTTTGATTGCTTTGATTGCTTATATTTTTGACTCGCATTCATTCATTGAAAAGCTGAATGAGGCAAACTTGTTTCACTTTTGATGTTTCAGCTATTGAAATCTCAGATTCAACACCTCTATAAATAATTGTGCAAACCTGAGTGCATTTGATTTGGTGAACAGATCATGCTGTGTTTTTCGATCATTTGCAAAGTCATATATCAATTTCTCTCAAAATCTCTATGTAGATTGAACAAAGGTTAGATTGACTTGGGGAATTGATTGGAAAGAAACAATGAATTCAGGGAATTCCGCTTTTCGAAGAGTTCGCTGGAGAGTTTTTGCAACAAAATATAAAAATGAATGACAAAAATAACTTAGAACGATTTTTTGCTTTAGTAAAGCTTTCAACTCTTTCAATTAATGATGTAATTGGAGATTTTGCAATATTACAGATTGTTTTACCTTGTTTTACTTTGTTAGAGACTCTCTTCCTACTCAAATCCTTTAAAGATCTATTCTAAGTAAACAGTAAGAGCTTTTTCACATCACTTTCAGTCGAAACAGTTTCCCTTGACACATTCCGATCTTAAAATTTCTCTGGGAGGATTCAGGTTGTAGTTGTGGTCATTTCTGAGGTTTTTTTTGAGATTTTCAGTGACGCACTTCAAACCCTCGTGACTCGGTCTAAAAAAATGAAAAATGGAAAGAGAAATGAATCGCCAAAAGCCTTAAAATAATATCCCCCTCTCAAAAGCTTTACAACAACCAAAAATCTCAAGAATTACTGTAGGAATGTTCTTTTTCGAGGCTTGAAGTGTTAGGAAAGATTTTGAAACATTAGAAATCAACTAGAACTTTTTCTTTTGTCTATATCTTGACTAAGACAATCTATTGATTCTTTGTGAGGATTACGGTAGACATTTTCGTCATTCTGCAACTTGAAATTCCCGTTTTCCTTTCCCTTTCCACTCTTCTATTTGACCGTACGTGGGATTTGAATTCTCTTTGAACTTTTTGTGAAAACTTTCAACTGATTCATTGAACCAATTACCTCATCAACTCCCACGATTGTTTACTATTCAATCGATAGCTTTCAATTTAAAAGAAAGAAATCATCTCATTTAGAATTTATTTTTAACCATTCTGCCCATTCCATGAAGTGTTAGGAAAGATTTTGAAACATTAGAAATGAACTAGAACTTTTTCTTTTGTCTATATCTTGACTAAGACTATCTATTGATTCTTTGTGTGGATTACGGTAGAAATTTTTACTTCTACAAAACTTTACTTTCAAAATTTCAGATATCAAAAGATGAGCATCAGTATTCTTAATGACGCACAATTACCCATTGAATTCTATGATGTTTTTATGAAGAGAGAAAGCGGAACATCAACAATTGAATCGTTTGTGAATCCGGAAAAGATGACGAGGATATCAATGCACACACAGCAAACAATCTCTCGATCATCTTCATTTTTGAATAAATTTGAACTGGTGAGTTGAAAGGTTGGCCTTTAAAATGATTTAAAGACAAAGGAAATTGTTGCTTAAACTTTGATAAGTGTTCAGTAATCAAAAACTTTTCCTTATAAATTCATTTCAGGAAGAGCACTTCCGAAGATGACGTGTGCAAGGAATTTGGACTAAATCAAAGCCAAGCCAAAGTCAAACTCATCCATTCATTCGGGTCTTCAGATTTGAATCTTTGCAAAGTCATGACGGGTGAACAGAAATTCACTGTGTACAGAATTGTTTTCTTTGAGCTAATAGCAATTGTAGTGATTCTAGATCTCTCCTAATATCTTTCTTCTCATTTTATGGCCTTTCTTTGAATGTCTATGATCTCGTTATCTTTTTCTTTTTTTTGCTTTATCTTTTGAATAAAGGAATGTTTATTATAAATAAAGCACAAGAAATTACAACTGAACAAATCTTGGCAAAACTAAAAGAGTAATGAATGAGTTGAAAGACAATAAATTAAACTATTGTTGATACCAGTTTTTTTGAAATTGAGGCTATATTTTGTAAATCAATAATCAAAAGAGATTCGTGTTTGAATCGTTGCACAAAAGAGGTCATTGAAGGGACGAGAATTGTCTCGAACACGAAGCACCAATTGATAAGCTTGCTGAAATTCGATAATCAAAAATCATTTTGGTAAATTTCATTTAAAAAAATGTCGATTTCTTATTAACATATTTTCTCTAAGTGCACCCCGGCAGCTATTTGGTGACTATTTGACGGTTTCCAAGCTTTTGCAGAACCTCAACACTCAAATCACCCACTAGATCTCATCGTCAGCTATATTTTCCAACCCCACATCGATAGGTTCTGATAAGCACTTTTCGAGATTTCGAGCAATTTAGGCAAGCTTATGGACTAGTATTAGGGACTAGCTTCATTGAGATCAGCTTCTCCTTTAGTTACCAGCTTCTTTAAGCTTTGTTGGATTTGTTAGGGTAGATTTGTAGCCGAGTTGGTGACTATTTGACGGTTTCCAAGCTTTTGCAGAACCTCAACACTCAAATCACCCACTAGATCTCATCGTCAGCTATATTTTCCCACCCCACATCGATAGGTTCTGATAAGCGGGTTTTGAGATTTCGAGGAATTTAGGCAACGCTCAGGGTTCAATACTATTAGAGAAAATACAGTAGTTTAGTTTGTCTAGTCTTCAAGAGGAGATTCAAGGCTATTGAATGATTAGTTTCTCTAATAGTTGACCCCGAAGAGCCGAGTTGGTGACTATTTTACGGCTTTCAAAGTTTTCACAGAAGCTCAACACTCAAATCCCCCACTAGATCTCATCGTCAGCTACATTTTCCGACCCCACATCGATAAGGTTCTGATAAGCGGTTCTCGAGATTTCGAGCAATTTAGACAAGCTTAAGGCTCACTACTATTAGAGAAAATATGGTATTTATTTATTATTCATTTATTTTATTGGCAATTTTCTATTTGTCAGACATCTCAATCATTACCATATCATTGTGAAACATCCGAAAGAATCTCGTGAAGAGTTTTTGTGGATCTAGGGGTAACTCCAATACTTGTCGTCCTCTACCCAAAGGACATGACTGATTCTCCTCACAAACATCTCCATTATTTCTAAAGTAAAATAGTATTTGATCGCTTTTATATTCACGTACAATAGAGTGAAACTAGGAATGAAAAGCCATCCACATCCAAACCATCCCGTTGAGCGCTTGTATAACGAGACATCAACACCAAGATTATCAAATCTGAAATTAGTTGTTTAAAATTTTTTTTAAAGTCGATCTGATTGTAATATGAGTTTTAAAAGTAACCAGAAAGTGTCTAGCATGAATTTGTTTCAAATTGAAGTAAAGCTTTAGCAAATCTATTGGGTTGGTGAATTGAAAACCGCCGGCTATTTCGCGGGACTCGCAGATAAAAAAAGCTTGCGGGAGAACAGTTCGATTCGGAAGAAGCAGTCAAAAATTGGCTTTGAAAGTTTTTCGATTCAAAACCAAAACCCTACCACGAAAGAGGAATCCGCAAATTGCCTGTAAAATGGGCAGAAGTCGTCAATAATAATGGAAATTATTTGGAATGAATTGATGGTTTTATGTTGAATAAATTTTAGTTCAAAGTCCCGCAGGTTTCAATTTACCAACCCAATAAAAGTCAAACACAAAAAGATCACAATAGAAAGAAAACCCGTTTTTTTAAGAAAACAAAATTTAATGGGTACAGTACAAAGAAGACAAAGCAATAAATCAGATAATTTTGCGAACTCTATGAAAAATCATGAAGAAAATGAAGTTAATTGTTGTTGCACTCGATGCATTTATTGGTTTTAAATAAAAGAACGAAAAGCTTGTCTTTTACCACCAATCTGCTCACCTCCTATTCACTCGACTCGTCACATCCAAGAAAATTCTGATCGGAGAGGTGAAATCCACTGGATATCTTGTGTCTCCCGTGTAATTTGTGACCGCAGCATTGTGAATGATAAAGAGTGAATTATCATCCTCGTCTGCAAAGTGAAAATAGTCTTTGGGGGATTTCTGGTAGTTTCTCTAGTTCAGTTCACACCCGAATTCCTTCTTTCTCCCAATGTTTGTCTTACCTGGACTCTAAGTGCTTTTTACAGACTCTCCAAGTTTTTATTTTCTGTTGATTCTCACTGAACCATCAATGTAACGCACACTTAGTTCAGTAAAATTAGAAAATCTGAGTTAAAAGTGAGGATAAAAGTTGTTAGGGAAATTTCTGAGATATCTAAATAATTCTATTGAACTTTTTACTCACCAAGATCACATTGAAAAACGTGAGGCATTGAATTTGTTCTGTTTGGAAGTGCAGTACAATCTTCAGTCTCTTGTTCCATATATGGAGCATTGCTGAGATAATTTTGAGCCATTCCTAAGAACGAAACTTGAAAGTGTACCAGTTTTTCACAAACCAGCATCCAAACTGTCTTCAACATTATTATACTGTTTGATCTGATCGATAAATGAATGAGATTGAGGTTGGGGAATCGGTGGTGGGGGTTGGCTGGGTTGACGGTAGAACTGAAAAGGGTTTCTTTTTAAAAATCAGATATATTTGTTTCGGGAAATTACAGGGAGCGTGATGATTACGCGAAATCGCTTCCAAGAGAATCACCCAACCAAAATCAAAAGAATCTCTCTGATTTTTTCATAGGCAAATTTCGATTAGGTCTCCTGCAGCAGTACCGAATATTAAGTCGATTGAAGTACACATAATTTTTATCTAGACTTTCAAAGTTGAGAGTCGCACTTTTGTTGGCAATGTAGTCTGTGTCATCTTGGGAGGGCGGAGGTTTTGTGCGCTATGAACCCAGATATCAGACCTTGAGATCAAGGTATATATAGCACATAAAACCTCCCCCCAAGATGATGATGCTAAAACATTGTAAGATCTAATTTTCTTAACTTACACCAGGAATCATGCCAAAATTCGGGAACACAGCCACGCATCCGAGAGGAAAAATCAAGAACAATAATCGGGTTTTCATCGGAAATATCTTAAGCTTATTTAAAGCAAAAAAAAGTAAGTAACAAAGAAAATCAGAAAGCGATGATTCTGAGAATTCTTTGAGTATCGAGAAGAACAGAAAAACGGCCAGCAAATACAATTCATAACAATGGAGACCTGGATAGAGACGGGTTTTGTGTGTTATTCGGGTAAAGAGTTCAAGAATCTATCAAATTTCGTAGACAGTTCAAAATATTGCGATTTTATACTAGATTAATGGAGAAAAGAAAAAAAGAAAGCTATATTTTACGGTCAAAGGCAAAGAGTCAAAGAATTCTGCAAGCCATAAGGAACAGAAACAATAGGAACAATGAATAAAAAGGTTAGAAAGAAACCCTAAAGAAATTGAAGTCAGTTAGAAGATTAGCAATGACCAAAGAAAAGCAAAAAGCTGTTTTCCTAGTTTTCTCGGCATGTGCCAACTGGCAGCTCTTTTCGTCTTCTTTCCTTTTTTTTGCCTTCCGATGCGACGACCGGATGATCTGATAGGTGCGCGAAAAGAGTGATAAAAAATAAGAAGCAGGTTCGAGAATTGATTACGTTTGTTGACTTAACATTTTTGAAGTAACTAGCTAGCATTGGGGAGAGAAAGTTCTTGTAATGGCATAAAATATTAACAGATTGATAGGCTGAGCTTGAAATGATGTCTAGTCTAATGTCCGGGATCTCTAAGGCTTTAAAAGTTCTGGGACAAGTAAACAATTCAAGAGTTCCAAAGCTATCGAATATTGGACATTTGATACGCGCCGAGCCCCTTTTCCCATTAGCAGTCCAACTTTAAACTCAAATATCTTGGTGTTGAGCTGTTCAATTTAAATATTTTTCATATCATTGGATGCGCCAAGTCTTTCTCTGTCGATTGGTACAAAAACTATTTACATTCAGTAGCCCAATACCAAGAAATTTGAGCTCAAAGTTGGATTGCTAATAGGAAAAGGGGCTGGGCGCGTATCGAATGTTCCACAATTCATCGAATGAATGTTATAGTCATGTTGTCAATAGAAAACTTTCAGTAAGAGTTTAACAATTCCTAAATCAATAGACGAAAGATTGCAGAATAACGAAATGATTGACAATCCAAATCCAGATTGCAGCGTGCAATCAAAAGAAGAAGGGAAGCGAAATTGAGGCCATTTCGATGGATGCGGATGCGCAAAAAGGGGATGAAGGGGAAAATGAATGGAATGGAAAGAGATACTCTCAATGTGAAGAGGATGGATGGGTCTTTTCTTCTTCTTCTCATCTCGGATATCACAATGGATCATCCAAATCCAATCCATCGACAATCACTCAATCGCTTCTCTCATTCTTTCTCCTTTTTTGTCAATCTTCTCCCATTTCAATGAACTCCCTTCCGGCGTTCCCTTTTTCCCTTCTTTTTCTACCAGGAACTCCCAATTGAGAATTTCGTCTTTGCAAACGACTTTGAGCTGAGATTTGTTCAAATTCTAGATTTTCTAAAATTTTGTGCTTTAAGTTTGGAGTTTTGATAACTATGGCCGTTTTTCTGCGCTTCAATCCATACTACTAAACTCTTCAAATGTTTAGATTTACCTTTTATTCTACGAAAATTAAGACAAATAAAAACTTTACAAATTTCACAACCAGTACCGGCAAGTGAGAAAAACGATTTTTATAAAAAATTTATTGAAGACCCATATTTATTGACAAGTGTTGGTCCTAGGCTCGGTCAAAGAAGTGAGCGCTCATTTGCGGCCATATGGTCCAGCCATTGGTTGCTGTTGTTGGGGGAACAGCTGGAAATTGCTCTTGAAATAAGTTTATAGATAAAAATCTTTTGGAAAAGCAACTGGAGTAGAACTTCGCATTCTTAAAGTGGATAATTTTTGCAGGACTAAAAGAATTGTCCGGTCAGACTTTCTAAGTCTTTGAGCCTGAGTTAGAATTCCAGTTTGGCGGCAGCTTTTCCAAAACTCCTTAGACTTTAATGACTCTAAGCTTTCGCATAAAGTGGCAATATTTCAGAATTTTCTTAAAAACTGACCATTGGTTGAGCAATTGGTTGTTGTGGTTGAGGCTGGATCATTGGTTGAGGCTGGATCACTGGTTGAGATTGGGGCAAAGGAGCCGATTGACAGGTGGAAACCTCAAATGAACGAAATTTGAAGTTTCTACGAATTTAACTAGCAAAATGAAGTCTTTAATTTATTTTAAAACAAACCAAGTTTGGATAGTTGCACTGGTTGATGGACGAATCGAAGACGAGAGTGCTTGGGCAGAAGAGGGGAGTCGTTTGGAAGTTCGTGCACATGATGTACCTGAAAAATTGGTTTTGGTTACAATATTGAAACTTATAGGCTTTAAAACAAGTTTAATAAAGGTTTACTGGCTGCTGCATCCAGTTGAGTAGAGTCCATTCATCTTCTGGGCACAGAGGTTCGTCGTGTCTCGAGCGGGAAGAGGCTGTGGCTGGGGTTGAGGCTGAAAATTCCATTTTTAAATGAGAACATTCAAGTTTTAGACCTTATAATTGTTATATTTTTTACACTAGATAAATAAAAAGCAAAAACACCTGTGGAATTGGCTTCAAGATTGGCTGTTGTGGCTGTTGTAGTGGTGGGGCCAATGGGTTGCACTCGTTCAGCGTCAACCTACAAAGAATTTCAAGTATAACTAATTGTATTTCAAATTACTAGAACCTTTGAACAGATGCACTCACTTGTATTCACATTGCTGAAGGGTGTTTGAGAAAGCGAGTCCAACTTGGCACGGCAATTCTTGAATGGCGCGTCCCATTTGGCAGAGGACGTAGAACTCCGAGCATTTCGATGTGGCCCAGTAGCCATCAGCTTTGCTAAATTTGAGGTGAACATTTCAGAATCAAAATAAATCAAGTAAAATTCTCTTTTTTCAAAATAAAGAATTCCTCCAACTCACTTGCTGCAATCGAAGCTGGGGATCTTTGGCTGAGGCTGGGGTTGTTGGGGTTGTGGCTGTGGCTGTGGTTGAGGCTGAAATTTTAGGTTTCGAATTTGTCAGACTCATTTTCAGTAACGTGACTTTTACTATTTTCAAAAAATCCCACCATATCTTGTTGTGGTGTGCTCTTTCCACATCCAGCCACATTATTGACGTAGTCGCATCCGCCGGTCGCTTGGTTGAAGATCAAGTTCGATGAGCAGCTCGAGACCTGGAAAAAGTTGATTGGCTGAATTTAAATACTAGTGTACAATCCAATGCAGAAACTAGCAATCTAACTATCTTTTGGATTTCTAAACCAACAATTCCTTGTCCCTGGAAACACGAGAGATAGTCCATTGAGCAGGCTCCCATTGTGTAGAGACCATCCAATTTGCCCATGCACGATTGAGCAGCTTGAGCTGGAGCTTGAGCTGGGAGGCTGCTGAAAGAATTTAATAAAAGCTATAACTCAAAAGAATTACGATTCAGAAAAACTCTAAAAACTCAGAAACTCACGGTTGTTGGGGTTGTGGGGATGGTTGAATCTTTGGTTGAATCTTTCCTCCACACTCGGGCACCCATTGCTTCAAGTCACATCGGATTGTTTGCGCCGAGAAGAACAAGTTCATTCCGTTGCATTGATGCTGAGTTGATTGATAAGCTTTAGCGATTTATTTTGCCTACCTGAATAGCGACTCCGGAGACACACGCCCAATACCAGTTGCTGCATCCCTGATTGTAGTATCCATCTTGCTTGCCCTGGCACGAGAATGCTAAATAGTTGATATAGTTGAGTAAGGGTTATCTTAAAGTAACCAAGGGATAAACAGCTTGTTTAGCAAACGAAAGAGGAGTGCCATAAGCAGGTAAGTAGAACAAACCCGGCGTGTACTTTGAACTCAGGCAAGCGCATGGTATCTGGCGCACTGAAGCCCGACACCGAGCGCTTAGGTAAGCCTTATCATGCTCAACTCTCTAAATAGCTTTTTGCAACCAAGGTATGTTAGGCGAATGGAAACTAAACTTAAAAGCGATCAACCAAGGGCATTTCTTTTATTTACCTCTATACTCTCTGTAATTTTCAGTTGGTTCTCTCATAATTTCATCGATAAGTGCTCGATCAAATAGCGCATCGGGATTACAGTATGGATTGAGAAAAAGAAGAAAAGACATTGTGGTACACGAGGCAAAAAAGGGCATCACCATCAAAGCCGAAGCAAAGTATGGAGCCACTTCTTTTGCTCGTTCCTTTTGACTTTTTCTTCTTCTTTCCAATAACTTTTTCTTTTTCCCGTGCTTTTCTATCAAGCCAAACTCTTCCCATTCACTCTCAGATGGGTCGCGACGGACTCTGATTCATAAAATCATTGAGTTTTATTTGAATTCGTGATGGCCTTACTTGGCTGCGATTGGGCGGGTTTGGGAGCAATGGTGGGAGTTGATGGGGTTGGTGATGGGAGAAGTCTGAAAGAATGAGAAATTATTGGCTTTTTTGTGGCTTTAAAAATCCCAAGCTATTAAACCAACCCGCCACAAGCCGGCACTCTTTCCTTGAAGTCACACATTCCATTCATGACATTGTAGAAAAGCGAGTCCAAGCATTTGTTCATCTTCGGGTTTCCACGATAGCATTGATAGAATTGTGGGGTGCATCCGGTGAGGCCATAGATTCCATCTGAAAAGTTTGTGATATAGAATAACTACTTGCAAGCTAGACTTGGTACAATACTTAAACATTTACTCACCAGGCTTTCCGGCGCATGAGATGCCAGCGGGGAGAGTGCTGTCCTGAGCTGGGAGAGTCTGTGGTTGGTTGTAGCCTCCGTTTCTAAAAACATACAATTGCTTAGCCAGCATTTTATAAAATAATATAATCTTTGACTTACTGTGTTGGTTGGGGAAGAGGCTGTTGTGGAAGTGGTTGTAGCGGGACTGGCTGTTGAGGAAGTGGCTGTGGTTGGGGTCTTGGTTGAGTGTAGGTTTGTGGTCTAAAAATAAATTGAAAATGATATAAAGAACCCAGCTTATATTTTACATAGAACTTTCTAGATATTATTTAACTAGATAATAGAACAAAGTACGGTCTTATACCCATTTAAAAAGTGCAAAAACTTACTGTGGTTGTTGTGGGAGTGGCTGCTGCGGTCTGAAAATAGAAAATGAGTGTATAATGAGTTTTAAAAGTTGACTAAAAGTTAGATTAGCTTTAACTCATTCGATGAATTTGTGAAAACTTACTGTGGCTGAGCCGGCTGTTGGGGAAGTGGTTGTGGTTGAGGCTGTGGTTGAATGTAGGTCTGAGTCCTGGAACAAGAATAATTTATAACCAGATTATCATTCTAGATCATTCAACTTCAAGATAAGGCTTAGAACATTACGTGTTTAGCTTTAAAAAGGACTATACTTACTTCACTGGTGGTTGTTGAGGAAGTGGTTGTTGTGGTTGAGGCTGAGAGTAGGGGCCAGCTCTGAAAGTTGGTTAATAAGTTTCACAACAAAAAGTGTTTAGTGATAAAATAAAGAAGACCAACTAACTATAAGATTGATTTTAACTTTTATAACTCACGGCTGTTGTTGGGCTGGTTGAGCAGGGCTTCCTCCACAAAGAGCCACTTGATCCTTGAATTGACAGGTGTTCGTGTCCACATCGAAGAAGAGACCGACATGGCAAGCCATTTTGTGGGTTTTCTGAAAAGTTATAAGTTATTTTATTGCTGAAGGTTGGTAAAACTTAAACACACCAAGTAAGCCGATTACAGAAAGTTTTTTGGTTCCTTTTCGTACGTTAAAAAATAACATTCACCAATTAATCTATGGTTTTCTGCAAATAAAAAGTGTTTATTGTTCAATCTCTCATCTTTTTAAGTCAATTTTGTTTCTATTTCAAGCAAACTCGAGAGTGATAAACCAGTTTTTTGTAAAAACCTATAAAAACCTCTACGAAGAAATTGGCTGAGTCAATTTCTCTGAAAATTTGGCTATATACAAAACTTTTTATGTTCTATCATATATCTATTGACACTAAGATAGGTTTCCTTAGCTAAAGTGTTCTAAACGGCATCATCATTTTGACTACCCGACTTTACGCTTCCAAAAAAACCCAGACATAAGACATTTTAAACCCATTTTAATGTTCTGTTGCAGAAAAGTAATTGACCTTTCTAAAGAAACAAAACGTAGTTCAATTGGTGCATTTGTTGGTTTTAAACGAAAGTACAAAAAGGAAAGAAAAGACTTTCTGGACAGCCAAATAAATGAAATTCACTTACCGCGGCATGGCAGACATAGTAGGTGTTGCTGCAACCATTTGAATAGCTTCCATCGGGGCGAGTGTTGCAGAATGGATCTGAACAGTTGTTTTTATAGTTAATTATAAGTTTAATCTTCTAAAATATGCAAAAACTTCACTTACCAGCCGGTGTTGGTGGAACAGTGACTGGTTGATCTTGTTGTTGGATGGGAGCCTGGAAATCGGGACAGTCCGGAACATTGATGGTGTAGTCGCACTGGCCATTGAAGGAATTGAAGACCAATCCGTTGGGGCAGCTAAAAAAATGGACTATCGAAAAGACTTTTCAGGAATACTGGGTTTACAAAAACATGCTGGGCTAGGCTTTATATTTTACTGCTCGGAAACCAACCTGTTTGGTGCGGCAGCCTTGTTCCAGCAGGTGACATAGTTGCTGTTGCACTTTCCAACGGGGTAGGCTCCATTCTGAAGATTGGCACAGTTCACCGATGAGAGTGGCTGCTGTGGCTGTTGTTGTTGAAGAGGAGCTTGCACCTAAAGCTGGGTTGTAAAGCTTTCAAAGTGAAGTTTATTCGAATGAATTCCCATCAATACCAAAACTAGTGCTGCAACTCACAGTCAACCCATAAGGACTTCTCTTTCCTCTTGGCTAAAGATTCAGTGAAAGGCTCAAGCCAACATTTTGAATCAAAACATTTCAAACATACTGTTTGTCCATAGGGTTGTGCAGTTGGCTGTGCGGGCAACTGTGGAAGTGGTTGTGGCTTTGGTGGAGCTGGTGTCTGCTACAAACAAAAGAATAAAATAAGAACAAAGAAAAGCCAGCTTCACATGTATTGTAGGTATATAAGTTTAACTTAAGCTTTCTTTTAAATTAAAAAAGTGCTGAAACTGACGTATTGGTAGCTCTGATATTGTGGCTGTGGCTGTGGCTGTGGCTGTGGTCGTGGCTGTGGGAGTGGCTGTGGTTGAGGCTGAGGCTGTGTTGGAGCTTGTGGTGCGGGCTAGATGCAATGTATTAAGCTGTCCATAGATTCTTTTCGTTCCTTTTCATACTTCCGTTAAAAAATAACAAATTCACCAATTAACCTATGGCTTTCTCTAGAAAAAAAGTGTTTATTGTTCAATTTCTCATCTTTTTAAGTCAATTTAGTTTCACTTTCAAGCAAATCCGAGAGTGAAAACGTGTTTTTCGTAAAAATTCTATAAAAACCCCTACGAAGAAACTGGTTGAATGAATTTCTCTGAAAATTTGGCTATATACAAAGCTTTTTATGTTCTATCATTTATCTATTGACATCAAGGTAGGTTTCCATAGCTAAAGTGTCTAAATAGCATCATCGAGCCATCGCCCTTTTGGAATACCCGGTTTCACGCTCCCAAAAAAATTCAGAAATAAGCATTTAAAATCCGTTTTAATATTATTTTTGTAGAAAAATAATTAGCCTTTCTAATGAAACAAACTGTAGTTCAATTGGTGCATTGGCTTGGTTTTAAACAAAAGTACGAAAAGAAACGAAAAGACTTTCTGGACAGCCTAATAAAAAGTCAACTAAAACAAAAAGATACCTGTTGGTAGTTGTATTGTTTGGGTTGTGGCAATGGTTGAGGCACTGGTTGTGGCTGAGATGGAGTCTGTGGGAGTGGAGCTGGCTGAAATTAGATTTTGAAGATATGTTGCCTGATTTTGATCAAAGAGTTCAACTCAAGTAACAAACAACTCAAGAATATTGCAAGATCCTCACCTGTTGATATGGTCCAGCTTGTGGTTGAGCCGGTGTCTGTGGGATTTGTGGTTGTGGTTGCTTTGGAGACATGCAGGTTTGTTGGAAGTCGCACTGCTTGAGCAAACCGTCGAACACCAAGTTGCTTGGGCACTGAAGAGTTTTCGTGGCCTTGTCAATTTCCCCAAGCACTTACCACTTGTCCAGTAGCGATTCCATTGTTGCAAGCGGCGTACTGGTTGACACATTTTCCGGTCTCATAGAATCCATCAGCCTTTCCTTGACATTTGAAGTTGATCACTGGAGCCACTGGTTGCGCTGGCTAAATTTTGATGTTAGTATTTTTAAAGTATCCAAAAATCTTCAACATTTTCGTTTACTAAAATATTTGCTGACAAAAACTAACCTGCGAGTAGGGTCCACTTGGTTGAGATCCACCATGAGCAAAGTCCATTCCGGGTTTTGGTTGAGGGAGAGGCTTTTGGCAAGCGGCCAAGTAGTCGCACGATGAAGTTCTCTTGTCAAACACCAAGTTGTGGGTACACGATTGAATCTAAAAGTTATTTTTGGAAGTAGCAAGTTAAAATTAACAACTCTACAAACACTTACCGTAGCAATTCCTCCAAGACAAGTGATCCAGCTTGGTCCACACTCGACCTCAACGTGAATCGAGTTGTCGGGCTGAAACGTGTTGAATATTTGCCATTTGTGTGTGCCATTCGAAAACTGAGTTTATAAAATGTTAACTACTAAGTACCTTTCCTGTGCAATCGAAGTTCGTCTTTGGCACATCACGTGGTGGTGATGGAGTGGTTGGTGGTTGACGAATTCCTCCACAAGTTGGCACAAACTCCTTATAGTTGCACATATTCTCTTCGTAGTCGTACCAAAGGTTCTAAAACTTTTGAAATCAAAATTTTCTGAGGATGAAATTTCTGGATCTAGGCTCAGGTCGTAACTTTTAGCTATCACTCACCGTTGGGCAGGTGTACTTGAACGTGCGGAAGTTGGAGCACTTGTAGAAGGTGTTGACACAAGCCTTCTGATCGGGCAAATAGATTCCATCTTGTTTCTGAGTGCAGTCAAATTCTAAAACACCGATAATAACTAAATTGAAAAACTTGAATCTGGCTATGTAAAACCAAGCTCGTTACCCGATTTGCCGGATTCGACGGCTCCCCATCCCTCTCGTTGTGGATCTTGAACTAGCTGTTGTGGTTTTGCTTGTGGGGCATATCCGGGAGCAGAATAGCCGGATTGTGGTGCAGCTGGCTGGATCACGACTTGCTGAACACAACAGTTTAAAATTAGTTTCCTATGGTAAACTTGAAGTGCTCAATTTTTAGATATAGAAATCTACATACCGTAAATACTGTAATAGTACCGCACCCCCATAATGACGGTGCGGAGCGTTGCGTAGTCTAGCTTTGAACGAGTTTTTCTCGACACTGGTTTATGCTACAATGCGCGCTTAGGTATCAAAAAATAGCTGAAATTCAGGGCTATTTTTTGATACAAAAGACTCATTTTTGAAAGTACGGGCGCTTTGAAAAAAATGAAATACTAAAAAACTTTTGCGACTACGCGACTGTACGAGGGGGCTGAGGTACTATTACAGTATTTACGGTAGGTAATTCCTTGTTTTCGGGGTAACTTTTAAGTAACAGTTACAGTAATGGATTAAAAGTATTTAGATTTAGAAGATTGAAGATCAAATATCATGAAATGAAATACTTACGACTTACGTAAAACTTTTGCGACTACGCGCCTGTACGAGGGGGGTGGGGTACTATTACAGTATTTACGGTAGGTAATTGACTGGCTCATGATTTGTGGCTCTAAGTCTTTTAAAACTTTTGAGACAACTCTCTTATTTGATCAAAGCTGATAAACAGCAATAAAATTATGAAAAATTGTTCTAGAACTATGTACACTTCCAGTCGAACCTGGGCTGGTGCTTGTGGGAGAACAGGCTGTGGTTGAACAAGGTCTCCAGTCTGTTGAGGAGCCTGTGGTTGGCCGTAGGAGTAGTCTCCTCTGAAAAGATTTTATAGAAATATTAGAGAAGACATTATCTGGATATAGAAATCTTACAAAGTTTTCAGCGTCAAAAACTCACTGGATCTTGCTGCCGCGGATTTTCTTTTTCTTGGCGCTCTTGCAAGCTTCGACACGCTCGATGTTGTTGCAAGTCTAAACTTTATTTTGTGAAGAAAAAGCTAGGCAACTTATTCATTTGCTTGATAACAAAACTTGCTTGATAACTTGGGGTAGGCTAATTTCTGCAATTTCTTTTGCGCAACAGGGTCATTTGCGCAACTCGCCATAACTTTCTTCTAAGTGGGCCAATCTTTATGCTTTTGGTTTCATTTTGTAGATCTCAATAAGTGCAACAAAATGAAGCCAAAATCATAAAGATTGCCCCACTTAGAAGAAAGTTATGGCGAGTTGGGCAAAAAAAATTGCGGAAATTAGCCTACCCCCAAAACTCTTTTGGTTTGTGAATATTTGCTTACCTGATCGGCTTGCACCCAGACTTGGTTGTAGGGGCAGAACTTGCGAACAGCTTGTCCATTTGTGCAATGTCCGTAGAATCGAGAGCACGAATCCTGGAAATGGTTTCATTAAAGAAAAACAAGTACATTTAAAGAAATTTAAGTTATTAAGTTTAAAGTAAAATTTACCCCATTTGAAACAAACTCCTCGTCGCCTTCACAATCGGGGAGGTCACTGAAATTAGTGCTTATTTTGAAAGGCTTGAGACTAATTTTAAGACTTGTAAACATAAATACTAAGAATTCAGTCACACTCATAGATTAGCTTACTGTTCTTCAAACAACTACTTGTTTTACCATGTATAATTTGTTCCAAAGTGTTTAGACTTACTCGTTGTTGATCTCGAAGCCGAGCACATCTCCGGATGGTGGATTCGAGCAGGCACTCACTTGGAAGTGGAGTTTGCACTCGATTCCAGCGATGTCGAAGTAGAGCTTCTGAAATTTGGTTTTTCGATAAGTTTTAAATGTTTGATGAAACAAAATCAATGTTTAGCTTTTCGCTTAATTAAAAGTAAACCCCAAGCTAAAATATGAGTTGCCAATTAAAAGTATTATCTAAATATCTTCAATAATATTATCTACTTGATCTACTTACCGTAAATACTGTAATAGTACCCCACCCCCATAATGACGGTGCGGAGTGTTGCGTAGTCTAGTTTTGAACGAGTTTTTCTCGTCACTGGTTTATGCTACAATGTGCGCTTAGGTATCAAAAAATAGCTGAAATTCAGGGCTATTTTTTCATACAAAAGACGCATTTTTTGAAAGTACGGGCGCTTTGAAAAAAATGAAATACTTACGACTTACGTAAAACTTTTGAGACTACGCGACTGTACGAGGGGAGTGGGGTACTATTACAGTATTTACGGTAAGTATACAGTCAGAGTCTCATTTTTGAAGAACTTAAGCACTAAAACTGCTACTACTATGGCCTAATTTACAATTCGCTTTTAGAAAGTCTAACTTTTTGAAGTAAACAATGAAAAACATACGCTGGGGCATTGTTTCATGACGGCCGATCCATGAGCACATTGGTAGTAGGTCTGATTGCAGCCAAACACTCCGTAGGTGTTCTCATCGGTGCATTGCATGGCTGAAATGAAACCAATTAGCCAAATTGAGCAAAATTTAGTTATGATTTGCTAAATATGATTGTTTAGTAGGCTCAACTTTTTGCAAGTATTGCTAAAAGGGATTGAGTCACTGCAAAAGGCTGGATTCTGATTCTCACTTTCTATTTCTTATAAAATAACTTTATGATCAAGGTTTATTTCATTCTTTCTACAAAATTACTGCAGTAGATGCTTTAAAAACTTACGGACGACGGGTTGTGTGGACAATGGGAATTGTTGCTCCTGGGTCTTGGGGATTGTCGCGGCCGAGCCCAACGCCGCCACCAAGGCCAAGAGACACACTTGTGAGAGCATTCTGCCCTAAAAATTTTATAAACTTTATTTGCGAACAAGTAAAAGCTAAAAGAAGCAAGAAAGTCTGAAAAAGTTGAAAAATAAATGATTGAAAGTCACTTAAAATCGTGGTCAAGGACAATCTCCGGGTTACCTGTTGGGTCTAGTTTGGCTATTTATGTGGGATTTTCGAGTTTTTGACCTCAAAAAAAACACTAGCTAGAAAGAAAGTGAATTGAAATTTCAAAACTAGATCCAAACTTTTATTTCCAATAAACAAATAATCAGTTTAAGATTGAAAGTAGTTTGATCTCGATCAAAAATTGCAAAATTAAGCTATTCAAAAACTGTTTCACAAATCGACGAGTGTTAGATCGAAATCTCGTCTACAAAATAGGTATTTCTCAATTTCAAAACTAGAGGATTTAAACCTAAGTCGATCATGAGTGAATGGAGAATGGAGAACCTATCTCTTTTTTTGGATGATGACTGTTTTTGAGGGGTGAGGATTACCGCCTTTTGCTTAGAGACCCAACAACTCCGAGAGGTTCCCTTTCCCTTCTTTTTTTCATACACAACTCAATCTCAATCCTTTCCCCGCATTTCACCACAAAAATTGCCAGAAACCAGTCAAAAACGCCAAAAATAGAGCTCTCTCACTTGACCCTTTGAAAAGAAATAAAAAAATGAGGGAACATCTCAGGGAAAACAACTCGTTTGTATCAAATCCGAGAATTACTCTCAAGAGATTTACCTAAAAACTAGTCTTATGTCATTTTTGGTTTTGGTAAGATTTCGGAAATTCTAGAAGGCATTATGTGGTAGGTAAACAAAAGCTAAACAAAGCTGTGGATAGGTTTTAGCAATTGGAATGGTTTTTTTTTGAAAGTATTCATCTAAGAAAGAGGGAAAAGAACGAAGAAAAAGGATACGGTATGCCGTTGAAAGACGATCGGATCTTAGAAATGAGATTCTCTTCGCCCCCAGAGCCCTTTTAAACCCTTTCACTGAATGTTTCGTTTTAAACAAAAATATCGAAAAGATCGGGAAGATTGAAGAGGATGTCTAGAAAGGATTGACGAAGAAGAGAAAAAATGAGGGATTCACCAAAACTTCGGCAATGAATAAGTTGTTTTGACGCTTATTTTTTCAGCATGCAGGAAAAATATCAGGGTGAAAAAGAAACAATTTTTCGTCTGAAACTTTGAAGTTTGAAAATTTGAGAGTTTAAAGTTTGTAAGATGTTGAAATGATTAGGAAATGAAGTGAATGAATTTCTCTGAAAATTTGGCTATATACCTAACTTTTTATGTTCTATCATTTATCTATTGACACTAAGATAGGTTTCCATAGGTTTCCTTAGCTAAAGTGTTCAAGCCGCTTGTCAAATTACTCCACAAGAATTGAAAATCCTTTAGATTCTCGTTTTTCTATGATGTACAAAATAACTCTTCTTTTAAAAGTTTATGATCGAAATCATGGTTTTCTTTTTCTCTTTACGAGGCGCAGATTTCTAAATTTATTGTAATTTACTAGAATTTACTGAATGTAAAGCATCCACACGCGGTTGAGGGCTAACAATAAGCTTTGTGACAAATATTAATACCGTAATATCTCTAATAGTACCGCCTCCCTATAATGACGGTCGGAGCGTCGCGTAGTCTAACTTTAAACTCATTTTTCTCGCCAACGGTTTAGGCTACAGTGTGCAATTAAGTATCAAATGAAAGCTGAAATTCAGGGCTATTTTTTGATACCAAACATGTACTTTTAGAAATTATGGGCGCTTAGAAAAAAATGATTTAGTAAAAATCTTTTGCAACTGTACGGGGGCGCTACTATTAGAGATATTACGATAGAGGATTTTGACGTAATTGAAAGATGAGCTCTCCTTTTGAAAAGCTTTTTAATGTTTACATTTATTTAAAGATCAAAGTTCTTGAGTTGCTTTGCTTTTTCCAAAAATGCCTAGACCATTTTAATGTTTTCGATTTCTCTGATCATAAAGCAAAATCTCATCTTCCAGGAATTTCGCAAATTTCCGGGTCTTTCGTCCATTTCATTCCTCGCCCACATCCATCAATCCATCCCCATTATCACCACTTTGATCATTCTGCGATGTTCCTTTGGAGATCCGATATCCGAAGATGAAAGTGTTTTGTCTTCAGGAAAATCATTCAAGAAAAAGAAAGAAGCAAATTCTTTGCTTTTTTAAAGAGAATAGATGCAAGAAGCTTTTCAAATCTTTAGAAATGATCATGGTTTGGCTTGAGGGACTAAAGAAAAGAAAATGTTAACTTCGCTGCTGTCATCTATTGGATTGGTGAATTGAAAACTGCGGGCTATTGTCATATGTGACACAGTTTGACCACTTTCTGTAAAAGAAACCCATTTTGGTGTCAATGGAAAAGTTGTAGAGAATCAAAAATCAAGCTTATATCCAAATTTTCAGAACGATTCAAAAACTGATTTTCAAGAGATGCCAAATTTACGAATTTTCACAAAACTTGCATTTTAAGCGAAACTACTAAGTGTATCTTTTTGGAAATTTGGCTATAAGCCTAATTTTTGATTCTCTACAACTTTTCTATTGACACCAAAATGGGTTTCTTTTGAAGAAAGTGCTCAAACTGGGTCCAAACTGGGACATCTCCAGTCCTCTATTTTTGAGTCTCACACTTGTCTCACACACAAACCAAAATCCTACTACGAAAGAGGAATCCGCAAATTGCCTGTAAAATGGGCAGAAGTCATCAATAATAATGAAAATGATTTGGAATGAATTGATGGTTTTATGTTGAATAAATTTTAGTTCAAAGTCCCGCAGTTTTCAATTCACCAACCTAATAGCTCTTTGAAGTAGACTAGTGACTTTGTTAATGATTCTGGGATCGCCAATGAACTCACCAATTATCCAAACATCTTAGCAAAGTCAACAACTTCGAAAAGTTTACTAGTAATGTTTTTGCTGCACAAACTATAGCATCTGTTCTTTCTGTTTATCTGTTTTTGATCAGATTAAGATAAAAAAAAACGAATTGTACAGATTTATCCGGTAAATAAACGAGAACACTATAAAATAGAACATCAAGAAAAACTACCCTTTGAGTAGACAATGAAAAACAACTCAACAATGGGTCAAAGTAGGAGGAAATAATGTGAGATGAGACCAATGGAGAAAATAACAAAATGGGACAAATAAAATAACAAAATAGAAGTGTAGTTGATTAAAATATGGAAATGATTTAAGCCATATCGTCATCTTTTCCCTTTGTCATATAGGCCTCGAGTTGGGCGTTGAGCTCGTCCTCAGTCAGAGGCTTCTTTCCACCATCACCACGTCGGCCTAGAAATTGAGATATTGTTTGAGATTGCTTCTAATTATTGGATTAAAACTGAATTTGATTGTACAGATGTAAACTGGTTTTAATTTAATAGAGTTTTAATAGAATTGAAGTATAAACTACCTCCTCCACGACCTCCACGACGTCCACCACCGGAACGTGGCTCATCTCCTTGATCGTTCCACTCGGTCATCGTGCCTGAAACATATTGTATAATAAGATCTTTCTTAAGATCTCTTCTTAAGCCCTCTTTTCAAGCTTTTAACACCAAATTCTTTATGAATGGTTGAAAATATAGTTTTTGAAACTCTAGAATGAGAATTTAACTTACATGTCATATGCCGGGCGTCCATTTCCAGCTGATCGACGACCGCCACCGCCACCTCCACCTCTTTTTTGGATTCCACCACGAACGGTTCTCCTCAAGTCATCGCCACTTGGTCGATTGAGCTTGATTCGATCTCGGATTGTTCCCACTGTCACCGATGAGGTTTCATCAACGAGCGTCATCTTCACGACTTGCTCTGAAATAAGCAAGAATGTGTTTACTTATTTGATTTGTCAAGCCTAGATCTTCTTTAGTCTAAGTACTACAAGTTTCTGGCGGCTAAACCAATGTTAAAATTAATTGTTTTCTAGATTTATATCAAAGACTCACCATCAATAGCTAATCCCTTGAGATCTTGAAGCATTTGAATGGCGTCTTTCCTTCTCAACGACAAATCTCCAGTTCCCACGGGCTCTCCTTGCTCATTGAAATGGACATTGACCGATTCGATGTTGTATGGATTGAAGAGCTCCTAAATCATGAAAACTTACCTAAATTTGATTGAAATCCTACTATTTAAACCCTTATAAATCCCCGTTTTTTTTACCGCCACATCTCTCATTTTGGTATCCCTCTGGGTTCTTGCGTCAGCCACCAGAATTGTGCCAGAGTGTCATCACAAATGTCACCACAAATTTAGGATAGAGAGCCCAATCAGGAGAGAGAATGGATGGCGAACATGAGACATGAGACATGTTGGACTCCAAAGAATGGAGTTGAAGAGAGGTTGAAGTGAGAATGGGACAAGTGGGACGAAACCTCAAGATCTGCGGTGTTGACGGTGGCTGCGAGATTGGAGAGCAGGACACGGACACGGGGATTCCCTCCAGCGCCAATCCTCGCCACTTCTTTGCGTCCTCCACCACCACTCGCTGGGCCTTTGCCGAACATGTCGTGCTTCCAGCGGCCGTCGGGTACGTGCTGAAAATTGAGATGATTTATCAAGCTTAGAAGTTACTTTAGCTCATCTTTTCCGAACATTTACCTTAAAACTTCTTTGGTTCTAATAAAGCCCTGTCTTATGCAAGCAATCTCATTGCTATGAACTGCTTATTAATGTTAATATAAATAATAGATGCAAAATTGAAACTTACAGTGGAGCGGGACCCGCCACCTCCATTTCCTCGTCCACCTCCTCTTGGTCTGGCTGAATCGTTGCGTCCTCCCGCCGAACGGAAACCTCCGACTTGGCGTCCACCCTTGCTTTTCTGAAAATGAATAGATTAGAGCTGAATGATCCATTTATGTAAAAGTTATTGTATTTATATAAAGCAGTTATTATATTTATAGTTATGAAGCAGATCTCGTAAAAAAATATAATAGTTTACCTTGTTTTGGGCGATAATGTCATCCAATGAAACGTCCATTGTCTCGAAATTTACTTCTGAAAATGAAAATTGAGTTAGGCAAATAGTTTTATGAAAAGAAATGTTATGTATGACTGAACGAAAGCTGCAGAAACGGATTGGAGAAACATTTTTAAAGTAACTTTCAAAACTATGAGCAATTCTAAACGTGAACACTAAAAAGGCAGAATAAGACCGAAAAGCTCAACTCTTTTAAATCAAGAATCAATAATAAACGAGAGAAACTCAAAATCACAAGACAATTTTTGAAAATACTTACAAAACGTTGCGCTCGTTTATGTGCGCGGTCGCGACGCGTACGCACATAAAGAAACGAGTTTAAGGCGGGAATTTGAATAGAAAAGATGAAAATTAGTCAAGTTAACTTGTAAAATATTCAAGTAAAAAGATAAAAAGAAAAGAAAAGTTAAATAAAATAAAGAAGTGAATGAATAGAATACAAATGAAACGAATTTTTATATCAGAATCAGAGCAGAAGAATCAATAATTTCCCTTGGGAATGCCAGTGGCAAGCGATAAGCCCTATTCCAGATGTGATTTTTGATTCTGTTCAATTGTAATTATCAATTTATTCCCAATTTAATTGTTCCATTGTTTTGCAAGACGTTGAAATTGATTGTGAAACTTGGAATCTAAAGAATTTTGATCGATTTGAGAGGTTTTTTGTTAACAAACCAATCGATCGATCACATTTTCGGGTCTCTTTCGAAAAGGTCCTCCTTCAAAAATGTCACAACGTTCATCCTAAAGCTTTTCTTTTCTTCTTGATTCAGAAAAAAACACATTATTAAGTGTCAAATTGTTCTAGTTTTGCAATAAGAATGTTTAAAACGAATGGTACGATTGTTAAAAGCATAAAGGGATGTTCAAAACTAGAATTGCTTGGCTCTTTTGGGTTAAACCATATTTGTAGGAAAAATGGCAGCAAGATCAGCTCAGTACAAACTTTTGGCTTCATAGCTCGCTTACAGAATACAAAGAAATTCCTTTGTAAAGAGATCGCCTGTTGTTCTTTGTGCGTCTGGAGCAGATCGCTCACTGTCTGGAGCAGGGTTTCTACATAAGGGGGCAGCTCTACTCCCCGGCCCTCTCTTCCGATTCGGGTTTCACTGACAATAGTTCAAGCTAGCGGATCGCTTTGATCCGCACTGTCTCATCGCCTATTTGGGGCAAAACCCCAGTACGCGTGGTGGTGTTAGCCATTTTGCACCTCACCATATTGACACTCTTACAGCGCAAAAGCACATGGACCCGTGAAGCGGCCAATTAACCGGCCGGTACTTTAAGAGTAGGTAGCATTAAATCAAACCTCAGGAATAAACATAGGATCCCCTAAACTACATCCAAACGCTGATTGAAAACCGGGAAACCCTCGAAGCATTCCATTCACACGAGCAAGTGAGGAAGAGTGCATCTAAATCATCTCTAACTATCAGAAAACTTTATTGTTTTTAAGATTATCCCACATCATTTCCAAAATGTTGCGTATTCGGGAAATCGGCACAATAATACCCGGCCAGTGCATAGAAAAAGGCTTGTTGATTGGTGAGATCCGTTCCCTCAATCAAATCCTAGAACAAAATCTTTCCAGTTTTCTTTTCAATTTATCCAACCGTTAACTTCTCACCCATTTCCTCTTCAAAAACATCATAAGCGGTTCGTATTCCAAAAAGATCAGCCGAATCTTCGAAGAAAGTTAACTCTCCACTTTTGCATTCTTTCTATTAAAATTTATGAAAGTTTCCTTTATGAATCACTTCTCTAAATATATCACATGTTTCTTTATAATGCTCAATTGTGCAATTCTTAGCGATTCCCTGCCAATATGGAGTGATATAAGAGTGGCCAAGCTCGTGAGCTAATACTCGAACACCGGTTGCGAACTGAATTAGAATTTTTCTTGTCACTTCAAAATTAAGTTAGCAACTAAATTAGCAACTAAGTTAGCAACTAAGTTAGCAGCTAAGTTAACGGCTAAGTTAGCAGCTAAGTTAGTAGCTAAGTTAGTAGCTAAGTTAGCAACTAAGTTAGCAGCTAAGTTAACAACTAAGTTAACCAAATTTCAATCACAAAATCCTCACATAAGTGCTTTTCTCAGCCTCCTTTGTTGTAAATAATCGTGTGACCAAATCAAGCAGTGTAATAAATTTCCCTCTAACCATAAACGCGTTGTACATTTCCATCTGTTTCAATTGTGTATACAAAGCAGCCAAATCAAATTTTGTCAAGAAATAATCGACCGCAATCATTCCACGATTCAACACCAATTTCATATCCAACATTGTCTTTGATCTAAATCTGTTATTCTTTCTTTCCAAATATCACTTACTCTTTCAATCGATCAAAGATCTTTTCATATTCTTTATAAACAGAATCTATTATCTTTTGATTTCTCGTGTATTGATCAAAAGCTGAATGGATTCCTGATTTCTCCATTGATTGAAGAGCAACGAATTTGTAAGGGTTTTTGAAAGAATCAACTCTCTAAAATGAAATTAGATTCGAATTTCTTAACGATCTCTCACCAACAATCTCCTCCTTGCCATTCGAAAAACTCTTCGATGCATTTCATAAATAATCGCATTTCCATTCTCTTCCATCAATGGAGTAATCAATTTCTTTTCAAAAAGACATTTTAACATCAATGTATTATGTAAAATTGTTGTTGTCTAAATAATGAATTTTTATTTTTTAAGAAAAAGTTTTACTTGATATGTTCGCAATTCTTTCCACATCATTCTATTGTAAACACTTCGTATATAAGCTTGGCTAGCTGGGATATCCGTTGTTGAAGGCTTTTGCACAAATGGGCTACCCGTATAGAGATCCATCTAAAGATTTATCGCTGTGTAATTATAAATGAAAACTTTACACTTTGCATTTAGCTCTATTTAAAAATAATTTCGTTTGTGCGCGCGTCCCCTTTTGCGTATTTAAAAAAAAACGCTGAAATACGTGTCTCATGAAATTTCATGTAGTTATGTCTTTTAAACAAATTTTTGCAAGAAGTCAAAGTAGGTGGTCACTGGCCGGGGTCGAACCCGGGTCGTGTGCGCGTGGTGCGAGCGCGCTCTCCACTGTGGGATAGGTGCCAATGCCAATGCCAATGCCAATGCCAATGCCAATGCCAATGCCAATGCCAATGCCAATGCCAATGCCAATGCCAATGCCAATGCCAATGCCAATGCCAATGCCAATGCCAATGCCAATGCCAATGCCAATGCCAAATGCATTTGACGCTGAAATTTGCATGGTGGGATTTTCCGACACAAGGAAATTCATTTCTGACAATCATTTTTACAATTTCTGAAGCTGTTCTTTCTTAAAAAGAAACAGATTGTTAATTTTATAAGCTTACATCCTTTAGAGAATCAACTTCTTGTCGAAAACATGTGCTATTTTGACCGCATCGCCATCTAAACTTTGATTTTGAAATAATTTACAAGCGATTTTCAATTTAAAACTTATTAGTTTCATGGTTATTTGCAAGAAAAGCTAAAATATGAGTTGCCAATTAAAAGTATTATCTAAATATCTTCAATAATATTATCTACTTGATCTAGTTACCGTAAATACTGTAATAGTACCCCACCCCCATAATGACGGTGCGGAGTGTTGCGTAGTCTAGCTTTGAACGAGTTTTTCTCGACACTGGTTTATGCTACAATTCGCGCTTCGGTATCAAAAAATAGCTGAAATTCAGGGCTATTTTTTCATACAAAAGACGCATTTTTTGAAAGTACGAGTGCTTTGCAAAAAATGAAATACTAAAAACCTTTGCGACTACGCGCCTGTATCGAGAAATCGATCACGAAAATGAAATTTTCCCCTCTCACCTCGACTACGCGACGACTGCAACCTTTGCGACTACGCGAGGGGGGGGCGGTACTATTACAGTATTTACGGTATCTACTTACTTTAGTTCATTCATATAAAAATCAATCCTTTGCTTTTCTCGATCTCGCTCATTAAATTCAAGAGTTGCATCATGAATAAATTTCTGAAAGGTTTCAAATTTAGAAAAAAAGGCTTTATTTACCCATATCGGATCCTGTTTAATCTCAGGAACACAAAATTTATTGTGATACTTTTTCAAATTCCATAATATTTTGCTTCTTGGCAACTCTCCTCCCTTAATATCCACTGGGCAAAGATGACGAAAGAAATTCACACAAGGAGCCACGAAATCATTGCGATTTTGAAGAGCAAATTGTAGAAATAGATCTGTAGCTGTAGTTACTTTAAAAGCTACAATAAATAAAAGAATTAAAAGCATTTGAAAATTAAGTAATTTGTAAGTTTTGCCAATACTTGTCCTAGACACTTCTCAATTCTCAGATAATCATCGTTTTGTCCTTGAAAAAGAAAAGAAACAAAGTGGAAAGTGAGGGGAAATTTGTTAGAACGGTTGAAAGATTGAAAGGAACGTTTGAGTTAAGAAAAATAGATCTAGATTAGCAGGAAATTAGATTTTTAAAGTAAAATTCTTGAAGATTACAGGATTTCGGATTCCTAGTACTCAATAAACATTTTGGTAAACTTTTTTGGTGATAGTCTGCATAATTTCAAGTCTAACAGTTTCAACAACTTCAAAACTATGCAACTATTAGGTACATGCATAAGAAATGCGGGTTTCAACATTTTCATAAATTTCCAACGATAGAAACCTGATATCGATGAATGTTATAAACTATTTGAAAGTTGTAAATCTTCTCTACAAAATAGGCTAAAACGTGTTTCAATTGATCGAATCATTGAAGAAATTTCGAGGGCGAAATGCGAGTGACCAAAAAAGGAATAGAGTCACTTTAGGGACAAGTTTAGTGTGGTCAAAATAGAGTTAGCTTTCCAAGATTGAAGATTTAAAAAAAAAGGATAACTATATATTAATTCATTAAAAAAAGTCTAACGGAAATGCATTTACAGAAATTTAGATAGAGCGTAAGTTCAAAATCCTCAAAATTGTCAAAAAAACCGGCTTTCTCACAAAAAAGAAAAATTATTGTAAAAAGAAAGTTTTCCCATGAAATGATCCCAACTCTTAATTATTTTGAATGGTATTTTTAGGATAATGATTTTAAGGCGCTCATTTTCCACTATATAGTCAAAACCGAACTCCTGTGAAAGTGGGGTTTTCAAAAAGTGCCCTTTTTTGGTCACTCGCATTTCGCCCTCGAAATTTCTTCAATGGTTCGATCAATTGCAACACGTTTTAGCCTATTTTGTAGAGGAGATTTACAACTTTCAAATAGTTTATAACATCGATATCAGGTTTCTATCGTTGGAAATTTATGAAAATGTTGAAATTTCTTATGCATGTACCTAATATTTCGATTTTCTAGCTAAAATAAATGTCTATTCATTGATCTTTTTGATTCAACCAGTCTAGTCATTCATTTTTTTCAGCTTTCTTATCAATTTCTACCAAATATCTCTTCTCGAATGCTCTCTTTTCACAAATTTCTTTATTTAAACAAAAGTTTAAACCTTTTAGAACAAAGTTCTTCAAAATGGAGGAAACTTTTGATGTGATTGTTGTTGGAGCTGGGATCATTGGCACTTGCACAGCCTATCATTGTCAGAAGATTGGATTAAAGACATTATTGTTAGAAAAGGTTTGTTAACTGAATGCAAGATGAAAATAGAATCGAAAAAACATGTAGAAATTCTAAATTTTAGTTCCAACTAGGTCATTGGAATGGGAGTTCTCATGGAAAATCTCGAATCACTCGATATGCACACACAGATGCGCCTTACATTCCCATTGTTGATGATGCATTTAAACAAATTGATGATTTGGAAAGAAAACGAGGAGAAAAACTGTGGAAGTGAGAGTTAGAGAAAATTTACAAAACTGGATTTAGAAAAACAGGATTGATGTGGTTTGGAAGTCCGAAAGAAATCGAGAATATCTCTGATCATTTGGTGAAGGCAAATCTTGCTCATGATGTCCTAGATAGTAATCAGGTGAGTGAAAGAAGAAAGTTAACATAAATAGAGATTGAGATGAAAGCGAAATTCTCTCAATTTGACTATGATCATTCATGGAAAGCTCTCTTTGATCCAATGGGTGGAGTGATTTTCGTCGAAAAGTGGCACGAAGCGTTTCAGGTATTCGAAATATTCGAAAGTGATGCAAATTGTATAGAATTTTAGGATGAATTCAAAAAACTTGGTGGTTTAATTTTGGAGAATCAAGCGGTTAGCGATTTCTCGGAGAGTAATGGAGTGACAAGTGTTCGAACAACGACAAGAGTTTTTCACTCAAAGAAGCTTATTTTCACTGTTGGCACTTGGCTACAAAGTATGATTCCGGAGATCACTCAAATGGCTCAAGTTCGAGTATGTTTCAGATTAAATTATAAGGTGGAATTGGAAAAGAAATCTCCTTTATTTTTTTTACCATTCAAATTTTAGCCAGAAAGAATGGCTGTTACTTATTGGAGACCAAAGGACATAAAAGATGTGCCAAAGTTTACGATGGATCAATTCCCCGTATTCATCGTTCACAATGCTGAGACTGGAGATGATGGATATGGATTGCCGTGTAGAGATTATCCTGACGCAATTAAGGTAAACATAGAATCAATTTCAGTTCTAATCTCGAAATTTAGTTCTGTGACCACTATGGAGAACCATTCAATGTTTGGGATGGAGAAAAGCCACCAAGTCCGAAGAATGTCAGCAATCCTGGAGAGCATCTCGAAAAACATATTCCACTTCTCGATGGAACAAAACCAGCGTATCTCGATCGATGTAAATATACGGTAAATGATTGTATTTTCTCTTTCTAATGTTCTTTTAGATGTCAATTGATAAGCATTATGTGATTGATTTTCATCCAACGAATCGAAACGTTTTGATTGGTGGATGTATGTCGGGTAGTGGGTTTAAGGTGAGCTCATTGAAACAGTGAGAGATTGATGCTATGATAAATTGGGTACAATTAGAAAATCATTCAGAAATTTGAAACAGTGAAGCCATTGGTGGGGAGGTGAGAGGGGAAAATTTCATTTTCGTGATCGATTTCTCGATGTTCGATTACTCGATTTTTGCTTTTCTCTCAATTTTTGTCATTTATTTAAGAATTCACAAATTCAGAAATTCAAAAACTGTCACATATGACAATAGCCCGCAGTTTTCAATTCACCAACCCAATAGATCTGTGACAAATTCACAAATACAGCACAGAAAACGATATGAAAAATTCAATTTAACATTGAGAAGGGAACATCGATCACGAAATTGAAATTTTCCCCTCTCACCTCCCCACCAATGGCTTCACTGGTTCAATTTTTCAGTTTATGCAAACTTCTGAATGATGGCGATTTTGTTGATGATCCTGATCCTGATCCCTTGCGTTTGCTAGTGATTAGAAATGATAATTCAGTTTAATTTAATTTTTCTAAAATATAAATCTAAAGCAGTTGGAAGCAGTGAAGCAGAGAGATTCTGCATAACTCAAAAATTTGCTTGCACGAGCAAAGCATTGGTGAGGAGCAGACATGAGAAAGTTCTATCTTCGTTTTCTCGACCACTTCTTGGCCGATTGCTCTGAAATGGCTACACTAAAAACATCAATTTCTATCTGTAGATAAAATTTCAGAGCAATCAGCCAAGAATCGGTGAAGAAAACGATGGTGGAATTAGGTTCGGATTAGAATTTCCCCATGTCTAGTGGAGAAGGAGAGATTTTCTTTTCGTGATCGGTCTTTTACTTTTAAGATAACCTACCTTTAAGATAACCTACTTTTAAGACAACCTACCTTTAAGATAACCTACTTAAGATAATCTACTTTTAAGATATTCTATTTTAAGATAACCTACTTTTAAGATAATCTACTTTTAAGATAACCTACTTTTAAAATAATCTTCTTTTAAGATAACCTACTTTTAAGTTAATCTACTTTTAAGATAATCTACTTTTAAGATAACCTACCATAAATTGTATAATATAAATAAACATTTATTTAATAATCTACTCATTTTTCAGGTAGCTCCAGGGATCGGTCGAGTTCTCGCTCACATGGCAGCGGGAAAAGAGCTCCCCTATGACATGTCATTCTTCAGTTTGAAGAGATTCGAGAAATCTCATCTTTAGTCATACAAAAATCATATTTATTTTTGCAATAATTCTTTATAAAAGACTTATTTGAAAGAATTGAAATAAAAAGAGATTCGTTTAAAACAATCTTTAACACAAAAAGAATCTTGCACAATGTTTTATCGCCATGAAATCACCGATCTTTTCCCAATCTCGTGATGGATTTCTCTCAAAATCTCGACAATTTTCCGTAATCGATAAAACCGGAGTTGATAAGCGAGAAATAAAAAAAGAAACTCACATAAAAGATCTAATAATTCCTTAAATTTTGTGAAATCTTTTGAAAAGTTTACAATGCCGGATACATACGATGTTGTTGTTGTCGGTGCTGGGATTTTTGGAAGCTGTACAGCTTATCATTGTCAGAAGAGAGGGCTCAAGACATTGCTCATTGAACAAGTTTGTTTGTGAATAAAGATAAAGCATGATATTAGCTTATGTACAGTACTGGACAATGAAATATGATTGTATTTGAAAAACGATCGTCACTTTCGAGCATCTGTAACTCCCTTGTCTTTGAGTTTAAACTATTAGTGTTATACATTTTCTGAAAGCTCTTTTCAACGGCTACACAATGTTAATATTAATATTTAGAAATACGGTAAAGATAAGGGAGTTATAGACGCGAAAGTGACAATCGAATTTTTCAAATATGATATTTCATTGTCCAGTAGTGTATCTATTTAGTTCTCACTTGGGCATAAAAATGGAAGCTCTCATGGAAAATCTCGTATCATTCGATACGCGCATCCAGAAGGGTTTTACATTCCTGTTGTCAAAGATTCATATGAACAAATTGAAGAACTTGAAAAGAAACGAGGAGAAAAATTATGGAAGTAAGAAATTTGAGAAATTTGGGCTATAGATTCTTTCTAGAAATTGTGGTCTCTTGTATTTGACAAATGCAAATCATGCTCTTGAGATGTCTTCTCATTTAAACAAACACAATTGTAAGAATGAGATTATTGTTGGAAATGAGGTTTTGAAAGTTTTAAACCCTACACTTTCTCTATTTCAGATTAACAAAAGATATCCTCAATATGAGTACGATGATTCGTGGAGTGCTGTGTTTGATCCAAAAGGAGGAGTTCTCTATGCTGATAAATGGTTGAATGCTTTCCAGGTTGATAGTTATCTAGAAAAAGACAGACAGAGTTTAGGATGAATTCAAAAAAATTGGAGGTATCGTTTATGAAAAGGAGAAAGTGATTTCATATCGAGATGGAGAGAAAGGAATCATTTTGACAACAATGAAGAGAGTGATTAAAGCAAAGAAGGCGATTTTCACTGTAGGGACTTGGCTTCAGCAATTGGTTCCTGAATTGGTACCGATTGTGAAAGCACAGGTAAAGAAATTGAAAGTACTTTGTGCTTGGTTAACACACGATCTATTGGGTTGGTGAATTGAAAACTGCGGGCTATTGTCATATGTGACAGGTTGAGCACTTTCTTCAAAAGAAACCCATTTTGGTGTCAATGGAAAAGTTGTAGAGAATCAAAAATCAAGCTTATATCCAAATTTTCAGAACGATTCAAAAACTGGTTTTCAAGAAATGCGAAAATTACGAATTTTCACAAAACTTGCATTTTAAGCGAAACTGCTAAGTGTATCTTTTTGGAAATTTGGCTATAAGCCTAATTTTTGATTCTCTACAACTTTTCTATTGACACCAAAATGGGTTTCTTTTTAAGAAAGTGCTCAAAAGTGTTACTGGGACCTCCAGCCTCCATCTCCAGTCCTCCATTTTTGAGTCTCACACTTGTCTCACACACAAACCAAAATCCAAGTCAAAGATCGTTCTCATCCACGACAACACGCGCCCTCATGTTGCAAAACTGACTAGCTCGAAAATAAATAGCCTTGTTTGGGAACTTTTGGCGCATTCCCCATACAGCCCGGACCTCGCCCCTTTTGATTACTATTTATTCCGGATCATCAGTAATGAACCTGCGAGAGAACACTTCGATTCGGAAGAAGCAGTCAAAAATTGGCTTTGAAAGTCTTTCGATTCAAAACCAAAATCCTACTACGAAAGAGGAATCCGCAAATTGCCTGTAAAATGGGCAGAAGTCGTCAATAATAATGGAAATTATTTGGAATGAATTGATGGTTTTATGTTGAATAAATTTTAGTTCAAAGTCCGGCAGTTTTCAATTCACCAACCCAATAGCTCTTTGAAGTAGACTAGTGACTTTGTTAATGATTCTGGGATCGCTAATGAACTCACCAGTTACCCAAACAATAGCTAATTTTTCTTGTAGCCAGAAGCCATCTGCGTTGTTTATTGGAAACCAAAGAGAGAATCTGATCTTCATTACTTCGGCGAAGATAAAATGCCTGTAGCAATCATGGAAAACAAAGAGAAAAATGAGTATGTTTACGGACTGCCAACTGTTGATTATCCGAATGCTATAAAGGTAAGAATTCAATCTGATCTGGTCAAACTGATCAATTCAATCTGATCAAACTGACTCAATAGTTCTAGTTTGGTTTCCATGGAGGTGATCGTTACAATATTGGTGATGAAGCCCATCCACCAGATCAGGAATTGATCGAGAAGCCGCGCCGCCATTTACAGAAACATCTCAAAATGATCGATGCGAGTGCTCCCGTTCACATTGATCGATGCAAATATACTGTGAGATTTTGATATTCTTTTGAATCTCTTAGTTTTAGATGTCATTGGATGATCATTATGTGATCGATCAATTGCCGGAAAGTCCAAACGTTTATGTGGCTGGGTGTTGCTCGGGAACTGGATTCAAGGTTTTGTTTTGCAAAATTCTGAAAAGTTTGACTTACAAAAAGCTTGGGGGGGGGTGGGACAAATGCGACCTTTTTTTTGCGCACCTGGACATTTGCGCACCTTTTTTTTTTGCTGGAAAAGGCCTTAGGCAAGGCCGTAGAGCTTCGAAAATATTTCCATATAAGGGAATCGTATGCGTAGATTCCGAATTTCGACAAATCAGACCTCGCTGAACTGCGGAAAAGCGTTAAGTTGCGTAGTTTTTGCCTTTTAGCCCAAATTTGATGTGTCAGCGAGGTCTGATTTGTCGAAATTCGGAATCTACGTATACGATTCCCTTCTATGGAAACATTTTTGAAGCTCTACGGCCTTGCCTAAGGCCTTTTCCAGCAAAAAAAGGTCGCATTTGTCCCACTCCCAAAGCTTGCTATTAGTAAGATCTATCAAAATTTTCAGGTGGCTCCAGCGATTGGTCGTGGTCTTGCGTGTTGGGTAAAGAATGAAAAAGCACCTTTCGATCTAAGCCACTTCTCTCTTCAACGCTTCAAGAAAAGCAAAATTTAGGAAACATATTTGAAAATAAACTTGTACTGTTGCACTTACTGGTAAAGCACTTACTGGTTTACTGGTACTGGTAAAGCAAAACAACATTTCCTACTCTCAAGCCAGACATTTGCAACTAACCCACTATTAATCATTGAGCAAACATTGAACTCAATCAATCTGCTTGCTGGAAAGATTAATTCCTTCGAACATCAACTTAAAAAAAAGACATGGAAATGCTCTATGAATGAGTATTGATTTCTACAACTCTTTGAGTGTCTTTTCTATTCGATGATGAGTGGATGATGGCATTGTTTGACAAGTCTCATCTCCAAAGCTCATCAACTTTTACAGAAAAAGGAAAAGATCTTTCTTTCTCTTCAATATCCCATCAATACTTGCAATAGTTTGAATAATAAATTGATTAACTTTTTTCAATTCTAAAATCAAAAAATGAATTTCTTGTCTGGAGCTGCTGACCTGATCAAACCAAGGTTTATTTTAACTGAAATCTTTCACAAGTTGTGGCTATCTATTCAAAAAACAATTTAGAATTGATGACATGGGTGCTGATCGAATGAATTATTGCTATACAACAATTATTATTGCTCTTTTTTCAATGGGACTCACTGCTCGACAATATGTTGGAACTCCGCTTCAATGCTGGGTTCCACAACAGGTTTTTTTTTCCTGAAAATCAAACTTCAAACACTTTTTAATGGCCAAAATCGAATAATCTGCGGCGAATAGCCACTAAAAAGTTACCTAAGTTACCTAAAGTTACCTAAAAAGTTACCTAACTCTGACAGCCTAAAAATTGGAAAAGTATTGTGGAAAGCCGTGCGCCGTCATTCTATTCTATTTCGCGCCCCAAATCATTTATTGTTTTGTAGCTTTTTAGCTGAATATCTTGTGTTAAAGCCTATACAAGGCAACTGTTGTTCATTTGTTTTTGTTTTTACTTTTTTCTGCTTTCCTTTCATCGTGTGAAAGTTGTGTCGGGATGTTAGAACGAAATTGTTTCTGTTTTTATCGTCGCTTTTAATTCAATTGTCGATTTTGTATGAAAATTGCTCAAGTGAGAGCCCAAAGATTCCGAGTCGGTCGGCTATTGAATAAAGTGTCTTAGTTCAAGTGAGATTAGATATCTCGAAACAAGAAATAACATGTCTTGAGTGAAGAGTACCAAGCGAATAAAGAATATTTCTTTACATAATCTATAGGAAAAGTTTTAGTTCTCTGATGCTTGGGAACAATATGCAGAAAATTACTGTTTTGTTTATAATACTTATTGGGTAAACCCGGACAGTCAAATCCCGGGAAATGTACAAGATCGGTAAGTATTTAAGGAAACTTTTTCATCTTTTTCATTTCAGCATAGCGTCTCAACTGATCTATTATCAATGGGCTCCATTTATTATGGGACTTGAAGCATTCTTTTTCTTCTCACTAGGAAAGGTATCATCATAATAACAATTAAAAGTCAAAAACTTTTTCTTTAGGTTTGGGGAATATTAAACCGTCGTTCCGGGCTTAATATTGAAAGTCTGGTAAAGACAGCACAAAACGCTGATGAAGCTGACGTAAGTTGATCTTTAATTTAACTAACAACAAGTTTTTTAGAAAACAGAAAGAGACAAAGGAATTGCAATCATTTGCCTTCATCTCGAAGACTCGATAAAGCTACAGAGAGCTCGAGGAGAACAAGCCTCTTTCATTAAACATCTTGTCAAGCTAGGAAAACTTGATGGAACTTATTTAGCCAAGTTTTTGAAAAGAGAAACTTTTCTAATAACGCTTTAGCATCTACTTGTTCACCAAATTATTGTACTTGTTCAATTTGATTGCTCAATTTTTGGCAATGAATCAATTCCTTGGGCAACGCAATCATTTGTGGGGAGCTAGCATTCTTTCTGATATCATTAGTGGATCGAATTGGGAAGATACTGGTTTGAAATTGTTTAGTTTTCAAATACAAGAAAACTTTCAGGAAATTTCCCTAGGATTGCCATGTGTGATTTTGAGGTTTGAAGTAATGGGGGTAGGCTACTTTGCGCCAAATTTTTTGCGCAACAGGGTCATTTGCGCAACTAGGTCTTTTGCGCAACTCGCCATAACTTTCTTCTAATTCGGTCAATCTTTATGATTTTGATTTCATTTTGTAGATCTCAATAAGTACACCAAAATGAAACCAAATTCATAAAGATTGGCCCACTTAGAAGAAAGTTATGGTGAGTTGCGCAAACGACCCAGTTGCGCAAAAAAAGTTGCGGAAACTAGCCTACCCCAAGTAATGGCATTGAATAGTAAACAAATTTCAAGGTGAGAGTGTTCGGCGGTTTTCATCGTTACTCTGTTCAATGTATGCTCGTTTTAAACATGTTCAACGAGAAGATTTTCTTGTTTCTTTTTTGGTTAGTGCTTTTGATTTTGAAATAGTCAAAGAGTATCTAGGTGGTTTGTTGCAGTGTTTTTCTATACTGTTCTGGATACAGTGCAATTGTGTCTGAAGAATCGACTTGGGAGATCGAAAGTGAACTATGTCAGAAAGTAAATACAGGACTTTAGAATAAAGAACTTAATACCCTAATCCAGCTAATCTAGATTGAATATCATAATCTAGACTAGATACGCTAATCCATTAATCTAGACTAGATTCCGTGATCCACTAATCTAGATCTCTTAATCCGTGATCCACTAATCCACTAATCTAGGCAAAAAGCTTGAATTGAATCCACCTTTCAGATATCTAACACTTCGAAGCACTGATGAGCGCTTCGTTGAACAGTTTTGCAACTCCAATTTCTCAACAGATATAATGATCATCTTGAGAATTATCACAATTCATTCAAGTGAATTCATAACTCGAGATGTTTTGTCATCACTTTGGAAAGAGTTTCGGTAAAATAATATTCAAAAGATATTTTTCAGATATTCAAGATATTCAGAAGAATCAAAATCAAATCAAAAGACAAATTTTAGGCAAAAAATTCACGACGATTTGCACGAAGACTTTTTCTCGGATGAAACAATGTCGCTTACAAAGTTCAAATAAATCTTTGTTTGATAATTACGGGTGTGAATAAATGTTTAAACAAGCTATAAAATGGATTCAAACGCAACAGTCTACTACTATATACAAAAAATAAAACGTCCGTCCATCCGTCACGCCTACGCGCCAATACAAAATACGTTAACGTAAAATTACAACAAATTGAGCTAGAAAGTTGAAAATTTGTTCCCGGGGGTTTTCGGGGACCAGGAATCAATCCGCATCTGCAATCAGATTTGTGCTACGTGTCATCAGTACCTCTAGTTAGAGGCCGCGTAGCGGACGCCCAGCGCAGCTGATACTTTTATAGTTTCTCAAAAATAACAAAAGCCAATTCAAAATTTTTTCCCGGGGGTTTCGGGGACCAGGAATCGAATCTGCAATCAGATTTGTGCTACGTGCCATCAGTATCTCTAGGTAGGCTTGAAGACCGGGACGCCCAGCGCAGCTGATACTTTTATAGTTTCTCAAAAATAACAAAAGCCAATTCAAAATTTTTTCCCGGGGGTTTTCGGGGACCAGGAATCCGAATCTGCAATCAGATTTGTGCTACGTGCCATCAGCATCTCTAGGTAGAGCTTGAAGACCGCGTAGCGGACGCCCAACGCAGCTGATACTTTTATAGTTTCTCAAAAATAACAAAAGCCAAACTCAGACAAAAGATTGGCTATTTTACGCACATATCAAGCTACAGACAGACACTATCCCGAAAAAAAGATTAGTTTCACAGTGTATTTCCTCTCTTTTCTCCCAGTTGTGCATGTAATTGTTTGCTTTGTATCAGCAGCACTTGACTCGTCTCAACAACGATTATTCTTTACCAAACGACACTCATTTTAGCTCTATTTAACTGTCTTTTATTAATATCGATTAAAAGCGGCTAAAAGCTTTCTGTTTACAATTGTACAATTGTGCAATCAAGTACAATCAAGTACAATCAAGTACAATCGTTGCTTGTCGTTGTCTTGCCTTCTCAAATCATTGAAAAATGAATGTCGTTGGGAGTATTTTAAACCTAATCAAACCAAAGTAAGATTGATTTTTTTTACTTACAAAAAAAGGACAAATCGATTTTTAGAGAAGATGATCTTGGATCAGATCGAATGAATTATTTCTATACAACCGTTATTATCACTTTTGTTTCAATAACGATTACAATGAAGCAACAAGTTGGAAACCCTCTACAATGCTGGGTTCCACACCAGGTATTTTTAATTTTGAGTGCCATATTTCTGGTTTCAGTTTGGTAAACCATGGGAACAATACGCGGAAAACTATTGTTTTGTGTATAATACTTATTGGGTAAATCCGGACGAACGAGTGCCTACTTCGGTGCAAGAGAGGTTTGAAAAGAAAGAGACTTGTTTAAAGTCAAATTTAGAGTTGCTAAACAATTGATCTATTATCAATGGGTTTCTTTCATAATGGGATTAGAAGCTTTATTCTTTTATCTTCCTTCAGCTGTTTGGGGAGCACTCTATCGAAAATCTGGGATCAATATTCTTGCGATGACAAAAGCGGCAATGGAAGCGGAGAATGCTGCAGTAAACTTTTCAAATTTTAGTTTAGTTGAAAGACTTTAGAATGGAATATTTCATTTATATAGAATATTTCTAAACTTGTAGAACAGCTTGTAGATTGTTTAATATCTTCTGGAAGATTTCTAATCTTGTAGATCATCTTGTAGATTGTTTAACAACTTCTAGAACATTTCTAAACTTGTAGATCAGCTTGTAGGTTGTTTAATATCTTCTAGAACATTTCGAATCTCGTAGATCATCTTGTAGATCGTTTAACATCTTCTAGAACATTTCTAAACTTGTAGACCAGCTTGTAGATCGTTTAACATCTTCTGGAAGATTTCGAATCTCGTAGATCAGCTTATAGATTGTTTAACAACTTCTAGAAGATTTCTAAACTTGTAGATCATCTTATAGATTGTTTAAGAACTTCTAGAACACTTCTAATCTCAAGATTTATAAATCAGGATGAAACGGCTCGCATGAAAAAACTCGGAATCATTCAAATGCATTTCGATGAATATGTCCGTTTGAATCAAGCCCGTCGAAAATACAATCCAACAATGATGAAAAGAATTGCGAAATTTGGCCTTGTTGATGGTTGTTTTATAAGCAAGTAAAAGGAATTCCATTACTTACAAAATGATTCCATTTTCAGCTCATATCTATTCATCAAATGTTTGTATATGTTGAACTTGATTGGCCAATTCTTGATGCAAAATCAATTCCTCGGACAGCACAATCATTTATGGGGAGCTACGATTTTAAATGATATCATAAGTGGATCGAATTGGGAGGACACTGGTCAATAAATATTAAAATTTACAAAAATCAATACTTTTAGGTAACTTTCCCAGGATAGCGATGTGTGATTTTGAGGTTGGTGGTGGGAATATTGATCCTTCTCGGAAATCCGGGCTTTTTCATTGTGAAAAACTATCCTTTAGAAAACCCAAAGCCAATTTGATTCTCTTGTGACTTTTCTTGGAACAAATGGTTAAAATAAACTCTGCCAATAGGTTCTACGACCTTGAAAACAATTTTTAAGCACTAAATCTCATTTGAGAATCATTTACAGAGCAAAAGAAGATCCCTGTTCTTTGTGCCTGGTTCCAATATGGTTCAATATGGTTCCAATATGGTTCCAATATGTTCTTTCCATGAATATGGTTGCAATATGGTTGTAATATGGTTCCAATATGGTTCCAGTATGTTTCTTCCATAAATAAAGCGCTCGCCGTCTGGCCAACGGGTTTTCCATATAGCCTAAGAGAAAGTCGTTTGCTTATCTCGGTCGTCCTTATGAGTCAATCTGGTAACCAATCCAAGCTAATTGAAATTGGCTTTGAGTTTGAATCTGATAGTTTTTCAAAATGAAAGGACCCGGATTTCCGAAAAGAACCCGAATATCAATAGTTTTTAAAAATAGGTCAGAGTTTTGGGCAATTTTCAACGCTACTCTGTTCAATGTGTTCTCGTCTTGAATATGTTTAATGAGAAGATTTTCCTGTTCTTGTACTGGTAAGTAATCAAAACAGAAGTAGTGTTTAGCAATGCATAACTAGGACCAAAATTTCAGGTGGTTTATCGTCGTCTTCGTCTTTACCCTTACTGACACCATTCAAATGGCGATTCGAACAAGAGCTCCAGGAAAGAAAGAGCAGTTTATTAGAAAGTGGAAATATTCTTTTAAATATTCAAAAATTTCTATTAGATTTATGAAAGTTTCCCTGAAAGACGACGATCTTTTGATCGAATTCTGCAAGCGAAAAATCAACGCCGATATCGTGATTCTCTTGCAGATTATTTCCAATCATTCAAGCGATATTGTGACAACAGAGATTATCGATATCATGTGGAAAGATCATAAGTAAGTTAATGTAGTAAGAAAGTATAAATAAAATGATTATATTAGGTTGGTGAATTGAAAACTGCCGGACTTTGAACTAAAATTTATTCAATATAAAATCATAAATTCATTCCAAATAATTTCCATTATTATTGAGGACTTCTGCCCATTTTACAGGCAATTTACGGATTCCTCTTTCGAGGATTGGCCAAATTTAGAAACATAGCTTTTCTAGCATACTGAAATCTGGAAGATGCGTTACAGAATTTAGAAAACTTAAAACTAGAAAATCACTAGAACACTAGAAAGGGTGTGTTTCAGCTTTAAGCACAAAGTACACCATTTCGAATAGAGAAACAATCATTGAAAACAGAAAATTTATGTTTTAGCTATTAATACTCATTATTGGGTTGGTGAATTGAAAACTTCGGGACTTTGAACTAAAATTTATTCAACATCAAACCATCAATTCATTCCAAATAATTTCCATTATTATTGACGACTTCTGCCCATTTTACAGGCAATTTGCGGATTCCTCTTTCGTAGTAGGATTTTGGTTTGTGTGTGAGACAAGTGTGAGACTCAAAAATGGGGCTGGAGGTGGAGACTGGAGATGTCCCAGTTTGAGCACTTTCTTCAAAAGAAACCCATTTTGGTGTCAATAGAAAAGTTGTAGAGAATCAAAAATTAGGCTTATAGCCAAATTTCCAAAAAGATACACTTAGTAGTTTCGCTTAAAATGCAAGTTTTGTGAAAATTCGTAAATTTCGCATTTCTTGAAAACCAGTTTTTGAATCGTTCTGAAAATTTGGATATAAGCTTGATTTTTGATTCTCTACAACTTTTCCATTGACACCAAAATGGGTTTCTTTTGAAGAAAGTGCCCAAACTGTCACATATGACAATAGCCCGCAGTTTTCAATTCACCAACCCAATAATTTAAATAAAGCTTCTAAGAAAGACTTTAGCTTTCATCAAATTTACTTCTTATCCAATTTTTAGAAGGGACAATAATGTTTTAGAGAGAATTTTTTGCGAAAAGAGGCTGTCGAAAGCGGGATCATTACAAATTGTGACGGGAAATTCGATTTGGAGGAGAGTAGCGACGAAGAAAACTCCCAAAAAACCAATATCCCAAACAAAAATAACCGAAAATTCATCCCATAAAGAAATTTTTATAAAATAAATAAATTTATCGAATAAATTAACATCTTATTGCACAAATTACAGTAAGAAAAAGCTCTAGATTAGCCAGAATTCAATTGCTGAACTTATTTGGCAGTGACTACCCATTTCTGTTTTTCTACATGAGTACTAATCTAGATTTTTGAAGACAAAACCGTATCAACAAAATAATTGACAGAGTATTTGACGAAAATTTTTGACAGATCATCAAGCTAAATAAGCAGAAATAAGTTACTAAAGTTAACTATGAAAGGATTCTATGTAATCACTTTTGTTCAATATCCATATCCCTCTTGGCTGTGGAAAGGATTGGAAGGTGGGATGGATCCCATTTGTGATTGCTGTGGCACACCGCCGCCATTCTGATACGAGTCAGGACCAACAGAGCCAATGCCTGAAACAAAGTTCAGAGTTTTTATCATTTCTAGATCCCTTTATACTGTGGTTAATGAAGATAAAGATTAAGATGAAGAAAGAAAGAAGTTTTTGTATCCAACAATACAACACCAACATAAACATTCTAATTCTACTCACCAGTTGAGTCTCCTCCATATCCATATCCTTGAGCAACATCTTCTGGCATTGCATTGAATTGATCACCGAATCCATCTTGTTGCATTATTCCCGTTGTTGCTCCTTCTTGTTGCCGTCGGAAAGCGAAAAGAGCCGCTCCCCCCTTAAAAACATTCCATTTTATTTAATAATATATGTTAATATATCTGTATCTCTCTCAAATAAAAACTTCAAATGAATAAGGTTTAAAACTTTAAAATTTACCCAAGCAGCAGCTGAGAGAAGACAATCCAAGATGGCCAATTTTGCCAATCGACCGCTGTATTCTTCATTTAGCTCAAACGCGGAATACCTCATCCATAATGTGAAAAAAGATATCAGAAAGATTCCAGAGAAAGCAGCTAAAATTGTCTTTTAAATGAGTTTTGGAGTTTACTACCAGAAACAGCTAAATCAGCAGTCACCGCTCGTTTCCTTGAAGGAATTGAGGAAATTTGTTCAAACTTGGCATCAACTAAACAATGGATAATTCGAATTTGTCAGTAACCAAACAATAAATAATTAAAAGGTTATTAAACTCACGAATAAGTAAGGCTAACGCGGCAGCCATTGAGAAAAATCCAAAGGCACTTCCAAAAGAACATGTCGGAGCAGAGGAATTGTAGAGACAAATCTAAAATTGAAATTTTAAGAAAAAAATCAAGCTTTTCTGAAGTTTATTATTATTTTCGAGTGGGTGGATGAGAGAAAAGGAAACTAACTGGATGAATGAATGCTTGAGACTTGTGCCATCCGCCCTTCGAAACACAATACCACAACCCAGCGCCAAAAAGCTGAAAAGAGAAGACGTTTGGCCTTTTTGAGAAATCGATTCGCGAAAAGGTCAGAATGAATTTGGTGTAGTGGTTTTGAAAAAGAGAAACTTACGAATGCTGCACATTTACATAGAACTGCCGGTTTCTTGAAGAATGTATTTGGATCAAAGCCTTGCACGGCCAAGCCCGCCCCGTAGGCTTTGATATTATCCATTGAAGAAAATCCAGTCAGTAAAGCTATGCGCTAAGAGAATGATTCTAAAATTTTTGCGAATAAAGGAATTTTCAGGGTTTCAAGTGATAAGGGTAAATGAAATTTTGAAAATTTGAAATGTTTCGATTGAAGTACCACTTTGAATTCACTTTGAATTCACTTTTGGACAGACTTAAGGTAAGGAGAATTTGCAAAAGAAAGCTAAGGATTAACACAATAAATCTGACGCTGAATTTATTCTAGTTTAACAGGAAAATTGAAGAAATAATGTTGTCGTTAACGTAATAAGAGAAACAGTGATTTTGTCACTGAACAGCTGGGCCGTTCTGTTCAATAAGTTTCTGCAAAATCTCAAAATTCGAAAAAGTTTGAAGGGGTTGAATTTAACGTAAATGGCTGGGGTTTGGTTGAAGGGATGGAGAAATGGGAAAAGAAGAAAGAGCAGTGGTCGATAGGGAGAAGGGCCCGCGCACTCACTTCTTTTCTCTCCTTTCTCCCATCGGGTGAGGCCCATGGGACCCGCCGAGGCCTCCCCCATTCCCCATTTCTCTTTTTGAGTCTTTTCTCTTTTTTTCTAACAGCTTTTTCTTTTACACTTTCACTTTTCCCTTTCATTCCCTCCGTCGATTCGCAGAGTGATGTCCATTTTCAACCAACGAGAAAAGAAATTTTTCAAATGTTTTCTGATTCTCTTTTATATCAGTGCGATTAAAATGGAATGTTTAAAAGTATTTTCAAAGTTTATTAAAGCCTCATTGCCAAATTGAAACAAAGTGTTGTCAAAGTTAAGTCAGAGAAAGATGGAGGGGATGAGATGATTGTCTAAATTGTTTACGAAGTTTACGATTAAAGTTTAAAATCAAAAGATTGTCTAGAAATAGACTTACTTGATTTATTGACCTTGGCCCCATGAAGCACCAGTTTGTGCACCCATTCCTCCTTGTTGTCCACCAAATTGTCCTCCAGCCTGGCCTCCAAATTGGCCTTGCCCACCTTGACCACCTCGACCACCAAATCCGCCCTGTTGTTGACCGCCCAATTGACTCTGGAATTAAAAGGCTTTATTTCTGAAGTTTTATTTGATAAGAGAGCTTTGCAAATTACCTGTCCTCCGAATCCAGTCTGTCCCTGACCACCAAAACCTCCTTGTTGCTGTCCTCCGAATCCACCTTGTCCTTGCTGCCCAAATCCTCCTTGCCCACCAAAGCCACCCTGTTGTTGACCACCAAATCCACCTTGTCCTTGTTGCCCAAAGCCTCCTTGTTGTCCTCCGAATCCTCCTTGCTGCTGTCCACCAAAGCCACTCTGTCCCTGTCCACCGAAGCCTCCTTGGCCTCCTTGGCCACCTTGTTGTTGACCTCCGAAGCCACCCTGTCCTTGCCCTCGGCCTCCAAAACCGCCTTGTTGCTGGCCTTGTCCCCCGTTATTTTGACCACCATTCCATCCTGGAAACTCATTTATGAGACAAATTACATGATCTTTACAGTACCATGATGGTGATGGCCACCCCATCGACCTCCCCAGCCACCGCCGCCCCAACCACTATTCCACCATTGAGCACTGAAAGCTAGCTTTAATAGAAAAGCAACTTTAAAACATACCTAACTACAGACAAAATCAGAACTGGTACCACCAATCGTAGAACCATTTTTTCAGCGATTACTAGAACAAAATAAAATCTCGCAGTCACACAACGGCGAATAGTGAAAGATGAAGAAAAAATGAAGGTCAATCGGTGTGATCAATTTTGATCCGATTCATTTTTATCGGCTGCCGGTTGAGATAAAATTTTCGCCGAATTGACGTATTTATCATTTATCTTTTAAGAGAAGAGCAAAAAGGAAGTGAAAAATTGTATCTCTCGCAATATTTTTCCGTTTTTCAACGATATCATCGAAAGTTTATCAAGTGTAAGTTGAACCTGGGAATAACAATTTTGAGGATTCGACGATTTTGAGGGTACAATTTTTCATTTTACTCTTGAACTCAAGAGTAAAATGAAAAAGTTGTGAGGGTTTTTGGGTGGCCTGTCTTTTGCCTGCTCTACAAACTTAATGAAATCATGCTATTGATTAGCTTGTCTCAAGTTGAGCACACTTCTTGATATGTTTCTTGCAACAATGAGTAATCTCACTCAATGCGTGGGTGAGATGAGTAATTGTTATCGATCATCGATTTTAGCGAATTTGGCGAAATCCATCGGCAAGAAAATCGTTTCGCAGTTTCTCGATTGATCAAAATTAAGTGGCTTGGAGGTCATGTTGCAGCAGAAACTACCCAGACAGGTTGGATATAAGATCTACTTGTAAAGAGATATCTAACGATCCGATTATTTGAACATTCTGCAATGAAACTGCTAATTCTCTTGCTATTCGTTTTTGCCGTTCTAGCTTTTGCGTAAGTTTTTGCTAACAATTTTAAATCTAGGTTTTGTCTAGCTAGTTATTGGGTTGGTGAATTGAAAACTGCGGGCTATTGTCATATGTGACAGTTTGAGCACTTTCTTCAAAAGAAACCCATTTTGGTGTCAATGGAAAAGTTGTAGAGAATCAAAAATCAAGCTTATATCCAAATTTTCAGAACGATTCAAAAACTGGATTTCAAGAAATGCGAAATTTGCGAATTTTCACAAAACTTGCATTTTAAGCGAAACTACTAAGTGTATCTTTTTGGAAATTTGGCTATAAGCCTAATTTTTGATTCTCTACAACTTTTCTATTGATACCAAAATGGGTTTCTTTTGAAGAAAGTGCTCAAACTAGGAAATCTCCAGTCCTCCATTTTTGAGCCTCACACTTGTCTCACACACAAACCAAAATCCTACTACGAAAGAGGAATCCCCAAATTGCCTGTAAAATGGGCAGAAGTACTCAAGAATAATGGAAATTATTTGGAATGAATGTTTTATGTTGGATAAATTTTAGTTCAAAGTCCCGAAGTTTTCAATTCATCAACCCAATAGCTTACTTTTACTATTGTCTTTTATACAAGGTTTTATTTTATTTACAAGCAAAGAATGAAATTGCAGATTCTGTTACTATTTGTGGTGGGTTAACTGGTATTATTCTAGCTTCTAGTTTGGATATTATTTTGCATGATACTTATTATGTTGTTAGTTATTTTCATTCTGTTTTGAGATTAGGTGCTGTATTTTAGTGCTCCAAGAGAGCGTAGAAGTGGTAGTAGCAGTGGAAGTGGAGAACATCGTCGACATCACAAGAAACACCATGGACATCATCACAGAGGTCACGGAAGAAATAGAGAAAACTGGAATGGGAACGGTGGGCAGCAGGTAGGACAACTTATAAAACAATAAACAAGAATTTTAAGTCCAACAATGGAAACAACTGGCCAGGGGATCGTGGAAACGGACAAAATGGACAAAATGGAACTGGGCAAAGAAATGGGCAAAACCCTTTTGGAAATCAAGGAAATGGACAAGGTGGATTTGGACAAGGACAAAATGGACAGGGTGGATTTGGACAAGGACAAAATGGACAGGGTGGATTTGGACAAGGACAAAATGGACAGGGTGGATTTGGACAAGGACAAAATGGACAGGGTGGATTTGGACAAGGACAAAATGGACAAGGTGGTTTTGGACAAGGACAAAATGGACAAGGTGGATTTGGACAAGGACAAAATGGACAAGGTGGATTTGGACAAGGACAAGGACAGGGACAAAACGGTCAATGGGGCCAAAATGGTTTTGGACAACAGGTTAGTGCTTAATTCTTAATAATCAACAAAACGATTGCACAATAAATTAGGGTACAAATGTAAACAACTGTTTTGATTTCAGAACGGCCGACGGTGACCTCGTATCTTTCTCCTCGTATCTCATGATTTCTAAAACATTTCTTTGTAATAAACTTTTGTTTACTGCATTAGTACAGCTTATAAAGCCAATCAATAACAAGACCTTGAACATTGATATTAATAATTTTTCACCAAGCAGCGAGAATTTCGAAAAAATTTCATGGCTTGAAGCAAAAAAAGCGATCACGGGGCGTTCCATTGAAACGGATATGAAAGTTGGTTTGAGAGTTGGAACATTATTATTTCCTCTGAGCCAATAGTGAGATGAAATTGTATATTTTGTTCCTGGTTGCTCTTACTGTAACGGTTTTGGGGTAAGTTTCGGTAGATTGGGAGGTAATTTTGGCCAATTAAGCCAGCTTGGTAATGCTTCTAGTTGAATTTGAGGAATCTAAATGGATAATCAAATCCGATCTTTTGTGCAAAGTTACTCAGAGTCGTAAATTTATATGATTAGAGAGCTAGCAATGAGATTGAAGAGTTTCAGAGCCCCAAGACACAAGAGAAGCAGCAGTAGCAGTAGCTCGAGCAGCAGCAGTAGCAGCAGTAGCTCAAGTGAAGAAGTTTCCGGAACAGGCGGCCTGCCCGGTGTGCCTGGTGTGCCCGGTGCACCCAGTGTTCCAGGTATTGTGTTCCTCTCAAGTAACACGTTTTCTAAAATGCATCTATTTGAGAAAAGTACTTTTGTTACACCGTTAGTTTTCATCAGATCAGCCCAATTTTTATATCATTGACTGAGTCTTGTGATTCCTCATCGAACGATACCAAAATTAAGCTGATTGGATGTAAACTAGCAGTTTGACTACGGTAGTTTTCTCAAATATGTGCATTTTAGAAAACGCGTTATACTCTAGTTTCAGGCGTCCCAGGTGCACCAAGTGTTCCAGGAGTGCCAAGCGTGCCCGGCTTGCCAGGAGGCCATCATCACAAACACCACAAACATCATAGACATCATGGATTACCGGTTAGTTGAAAGTCAAACAAAAGCGAGTCAATGCTTTAAGCTTAAGATAAAGTTTTCATTTCAGGGACCATCAGATGTGCCTAAACCACCAAGCCCCTCAAGCGCCGTGCCCAAACCAGCTGCTCCAAAGGCTGATGCTCCCAAACCGGCTGGAAATCAAGGTCCCAAAGCTGCTTGAATTCAGTCAGAATTTCCTTTAGGACTTTCCCCCCAAAATCAACAAATACATTCTTTTGTTGTAATTGACCCATTATCAATCATTGCAAATGTTGTATCGTTGATCAAGTTTTTTGTATGGTGATCCTCTAGAATTCTTTCCATTTATTCTTTCCATTTATTCACACAGTTCAAATGCTCATTTCTGCCAGTAAACCGTTTTGTTCAGCTTTTCAAGGCACAGCTCTGTCATCTTTACAGATCATCTTTACACAGCTTATGTTTTGTCTTACTAAAAGTTTTAAAAACAGAAAACCACATTGAAAGACGATGAATACTGTGGAATTTTGATTTCGAGATTTGTTATCAGTTCAATTTTTCTATACAAAAAAGTTTTTGGTTAAAGGATGGGCAAATCTATCGCTATGTGGAACCAGATAAAAGAAAAAAAAACTGAAGACTGGTAAACAACTTTTTGTGATAGTCAAGTGGTATCACTATTTTTATGCATTTTGAACAGGTATTTTGTAAAAGTTTATTAAAAGTATACACAAAAAAGATCCCGTTTTGGCCTGAGTGAGCAGTTGAAAGTCGAGATGCTTGGAGAAGTCGAGGGATTTATTTCTGAAAATTGTTTTGAATGGTTCTGTATTTGAGTTTGAGCTTTATAAATTGTCAAAAATGTTTTAAACAACTCACTCCCCATGATCCCCGTCTTTCATGGCTTCCCCGTCCTCCACCCCATCCACCTCGTCCTCCACCGTTATTCCATCCACCTCCATTGTTCCATCCTCCTCCTCGTCCACCTCCATTGTTCCATCCTCCTCCTCGTCCACCTCCGTTCCATCCTCCTTGTCCACCTCCGTTCCATCCGCCTTGTCCTCCCCAACCTTGCTGGCCACCCTAAAGATCCCTTTTACTATGAGTTTTGTTATATCGAATCATTACAAAACTTAAATACTCACGCCTCTTCCGGGGAATCCTCCATTGTTACCCCAGCCTTGGTTTCCCCATTGTGGAGCCCTAAAATCTCACATAACTTTTCTTTTTAGATAAGTTTCAAGTTAGATACATAGTTAGATACTTTTTAATCACAAAGACTTACGCATAGGCAACGGCAAGGAAAGCGAGTAAAGCCAAGATATAATACTTCATGTTGAACAAGATTTAAAAATGAATCTGTTTTCACGTAACTAAATTGGCTCTTATATACAGAAAACTCTTTTTTCAAGGAGATAAGTGAAGGTCAATCATTGAGCGAATGGGGAATGACGCAAGGGAAAAAAGTGAGAGAAAGGCTCACGTTATGCGGGGGTTGATTCAATGAGTCCTCGGCTCAAGTCTTTCAAACTCGCCAATAAGTCTATGATTGCTCATCTATTGTTTTGTTGATAAAATGGATCAAAGAAAGAGCTAGATTAGCACCAAAAATTATTGTAGGAGTCATCACTCTTAGACAGAAAGCGAATGTTGAGCTGTGGATAACCCAATAACTGGTCGAGGACCACCTATCTAGTTTGTTACAAGCCATTAAACGGACAAGTTTTGCAGTTAAACTGTTATCGATGGTCAAAAGTTTCGATAAAACTTTCCCTCAATTAGAAAGTGATTTCAAATTTGCATACTTGTTGACTTCCTCGCCGCAGAAAGATATTCAGCCTTCGAAAAAAGGTTTTATTTTCTTTCTCTTTCATTTTTCAAATTTCAATCTTGTTATTAGCATTTACTCAAAACTTTCATTAATTTTCAGTAAATGTTTCATTTGTTTCTCCATCACCCCTTCAAGATGGGCTGGATCTCGCCGAAAAGCGTCAAAAAGAAGGCGACAGGACTCACCCCAGCCGACGAAAAGGAAGAAGAGAATGAGAGGTTAGCTTTAGCATTAAGATAACATTGGATTTGATTCTGTGACTAGGATTGCCTTCTATGGAGCATTGTTTTTATTTTAGTGATCGTGATGACCTCTCAGAATGCTCCTATCAGTCATCGAACGAGGCTTCTGTCATTCAGCAAAACGAGTACAATAGTGAGTATTTTGATTTGGTTTTTTTAAATTTGTTGATTTTTTTTAGCTGATCGAGATCCAGATGCTGATTTGCGAAACCTGGATTGCTTCCACGGATTTCTGCCACGATGGGAGGCTGAAGAAATCCTTATGCAGGTTGGAATTTCGTGGTGAAATAGTTACCTTTTCTTATGATTAGTGTTTAAAAAGGATCATGACTTATGCTTTTAGACTGGAGACTACCTTGTGCGCAAAAAGGAACAAAATGATGAGGTGTGTTAAACTTTTATGTGTAATAAAGCGCTTATTGGGACTTGAAATATTGTGCTGAATAGTTATAGTTTAGGTTGTCACGATTTTGTCGATTAGAGCCGAACAAACGCCACCAAAATTTTGGCATCTCATCGTACCAAAAGTGGAGGATAAATGGATGGTAAGTTTAAATTTATTTACGATATTATTTTTCTTTGTTAGGTCACCGATAGCCTGGCGATCACTGACTTGGGAGTTTACTTGAGTGGTAAACGCAATGATGGTCAACCGATTTTAGAAAATGATCAACGGTGAGTGTAATATAAGCTTTTGGTTTAGTTAGTCTTCAAAGATTTTTATATTTTAGATCAATCCTTCGCCATTCCATTCCTCGACAAGCTTGGGAGTTACGCAGCAACCAAGTTCAACTCGGCAAGAAAGTAATTTTGTGTTTAATCTGATTCATCCTTTTTCTTTAGGTGGGTGAAGGTGCTTTTGGAGAAGTATTTTTGGGAACACTTCAACTTGATACTGATCGATCGTTGCCTGTTGCCGTAAAACGACTCAAGAATGGTTTACATGATTTACTGTTTTTAAATTGGTTTTTTTAAGTCACCGTTCTTGCTGAACAGAAAGAGCAATTTGTATCTGAAGCTCGTTTGTGTAGGCGACTTCATCACGAGTACATTATCATTTAAGCAACTGTCTTATTACAAACTTTCTTTAGGAACATCGTTAAATTTCGTGGTGTAATGGTTGAAAAAACGCCGTTTTTGATGGTACTTGAATGGGCTGATGGCGGATCACTTTTGGTAGTTTTTACTTGAATAAGCGATTAGTTTTATTTTATATGAAAAATTTTAATCAGGAGAAGATTTTAATTGTTGTGAATTTAGGACGCTCTGCGCAAATTTGGCTCTACTTATAACAATATGCAAAAGACGCTGTACGTTTGGATTTTTAAAAAGTCAATCTTGTTTTGGCGCTAGGTTTTGTGTTCAAGCAGCTCAAGGCTTTCGCTACTTGGAGAAGAATCGGATCATTCATCGGGATATAGCTGCTAGAAATTGTCTCATTGGCAGTGGAAGGTTGATTGTTTGATTTTAAAGTAAAGTTAAGCCTTTTTTTAGAGTCAAAGTCTCGGATTTTGGATTGTCTTTGTTTTCACATGAGTTGCGTAAGATTGACCTCACAACCGAGATTCTTCCTATCAGGTTATGCTTTTTTATTATTTCCCTGATGTTAGTTTTAGGTGGCTGGCACCCGAAACGTTTTCTTCATGGGTTTTTTCCAACAAAACTGATGTCTACTCATTCGGTGTGATGATGTGGGAGGTGTTCGCACTGGGACGTACGCCATATTCTGATCTTGATTCAAAACAGGTATGCATTTCATTGTTGTCCAACTTTGGCTGTTTTTAACAACGATACCATGTGTTTCCTCAACGGTATAAGTTTTAAAAGCTATCTCAGCGATCCGATTATTTATGTTTTAGGTTGCTCAAGGAGTTCTAGGAGGAATGTATCTTCAACCGCCTCGCGATACACCTGATGGAGTGAGCAATTTGATTCTGCTATGCCAAAGCAATGATCCAATGAAAAGGTGAAATTTTAGATACTCAAGTCTAAATTGCCAGATCTTTTTTACATTGAGTTGTTCAGGCCAAACTTTTTGAAGCTGAAGCTCCATTTGCGCAAAGAATACGATAAACTCGCTGGTCGCCGTGGTTTTGTGAACTTCTTCAAGAAGAAAACTTATTGAAGCAACGAAAAGAACAAATCAAACTCCCTTTAGTCTCTCATTTATACTTGATTGCTATTTTCTCCCTCTTTGAAGTGAAAAAGATTCAGAGAACTTTCGATAATAAAAGTTTTTGGCGCAATAAAATTTGAACAATTTATTATGTGTGGCATAACCCACTGTACAACAACAATAAATGACCAGCATCGGAAAATTTTTAGAAGTGCACTTTGAATCACCAGTCATAGGCAGGGAAAACAAATTGGAATGTTTAACTGAGAGGTTTTGAATGAGGTGAGAATTGAGGGAGGTTTTTGTGTCTATCGACCAAAGAAATCCATTCCTCCTTTATTGGTTTGTTTCTCGACTTCATCAAAGGAAACAGTTGGCCTTTTCCCGCCACCGAAACTGATTGTACCGCTTGGCATTGGAGGCACTGGAGCAAAGGGAGTCTGAAAGGTTATGATTGTTCATCACTTTTAAATGTAAATTGAGTGTCAAATGATAACTGGTACCTTTTTCCCTGGCTTCATCGGATTTTTCTTGGCAGTACCAGCATCACCGCCTGAAAAGCCAAATGAGTTGCCGAAGTCGGCTCCCGGTGGTGGTGCACCAGAGTTTTTCGTCAATAATCCTGAAACAATATTGTTGAAAGCTACAGGGACATGGTGTGATTAAAGATACTGTAAGATCTACTACCAAGCCTTTACCAGTATACCTGAAAATGTTATAACAAAAGTTAGTTTCGTTAGCATTAAACAGTGCTGCGTGCAGATTGTGCTATCTAGCTGATTTGACGGCAAGCTGTCGAACAAAAGAGAAGCATCGTTTTTTGAATCTTCTTTCCTCTACCTGAATCCCCAACAAAAGCACTTCCGACAGCTTGACTCCCATCATTTTCCCATTCAATATCATTTTCGGACCCAAATCCTTCACTTTTATCGGTTATTAAATCTATAAATGGGTTAAAAAGAGGTTAAAATGACACTCGAAAAGGTTAGTGCTTTCGCGCGTTGACTCACTTTGTCGATTTGCTTTCATTTGTTGCAAGAAGCTTAACTTCTCTTTGGACAACGATCTGGCGTTGCCTCTAGAAGGATTTGGGGTCTGAAATTTTGACTTTCATTAGGGAAAACATGATTTACAAAACCGGGAACTGTTGGAAAGGTGTTTCTTTGGTTGTTCCACCGATTACTTCTTCGACTTCTTTGTTTTCATTTTGAGCGGTGAAAGCGGGGAATGGGGGAAGAGGGCCATCGTATCCCTACATAGTTTTCGATTTAAAAGATTACCCATTTTTACCTTTGGTCGATATCCAAGTGGTGGAGGGGGTGGAGTTCGGAAGCCCTGAATACCCGGTGGTGCGGTAATCGAGTAAACTGATGGAGACTGCGGAGGATCGGCTTCTTGTTTGAAGGTTTCGGCTGCCGCTTCCTCAAACACCTAAAAAAAGTTGAAATTTTGAGAAAATATGAAGTTTTAGGTCTTGTTTCGAAAATCAGTTTTTGTTGTTATTATATTAAGTGACAATGAGAGCCATGGTAGGAGCATAAAAATATTTTTATCTAGGCTTTATCTAACAAAAAGCAATGGATAGTTTCAATGCGAAGCAAAGTTTTCAATTGAGGAAACTCCTTACTTCCTCGCCTCATCACCCATTTTGGTTTTTCATTTTTCATTTTCAAAATTGAATTTGGCAAAGAAAGAGGGGCCGAGTGGAATTGAACCCTCGACCTTTCTGGGCCCACGCAGCTACAGCTCGCCCACCTACCACTGAACTACAGACGCTTATTCGTCTAGCGCAAAAGAAGAAGAGAAGGAGCGGTAGAAAGATTATTTTGTGATTAACCGATAATATTTTGTAGCATAAAGCACCTGCTCCATATTCATACTAGGCGCTGCAAAGGCTTGTTGAACCATCGGATTGTTTTGCATAGAGGAGCGCATTCGTCGTTCCTAAATGAGTGAAACATTTATAAGATTTATACGTGAACATTCATTTTGTTTAACTAAAGAAAATTTCGATATCAACTTACTTGTTCTAGCAATTGTCTCTTCATCGCCTCTTGCTTGGCTTCAAAATCGAGTCTTTCTCTTTCTCGTTCAGCTAGCTTTGCCTAAAGATAATTGGTATTGAATTCGCTTATTTTCTACCTTTGCTTCTTCGGCTTTTTTCCTCAGCAAAGTCTCCATTTCTTCCCGTTCTTTCCTTAATGATCCTGGCTGTAAAATTTCACGAGCCAGCTGGCTGCTCAATCCAACCAATGAAGTTTCGGCATCACTATTCTCGAGCAAATCTAGAAATTTTAATATTCGAATATATAAGATTTGTGTTTACCTCTGTTATTCTCATTACGAGCAGGCTGAAAAAGTGGGGCACCTTGGGCAGCAGCCTAAGATTTTGAATAAGAATAGTAGCTACGAGGGCTGCAAGCTTAGTTGGAAAGGATTTTCGCAAAACTATTGTAAGAAACATTGTGAGACTCACTCTAGCTGAGAATCCTCGACTCTGCAAGAATGGGAAGAGAATAGGAGCAATCCCATCAATTATTCCAGCCACAGGAGTGATCACATTGGCCACATTCGGATTGGCATCAGAATTTGCGTTTGCCTAGAAAAACATAGGTTAGGCCATCATTTTTTCAAAACCTGTAGATTGAAAATATTCTGTCCAGTTTGGTTGACTGGTTTTGCTGTTGTAGTTGTTGGATCGTCTTCGGGTACAGCCTCAGTGACAGCATCGTGTAGTTTTTCATCTTAAAATGTAAATATTTGTTAAATTTGATGATAACTAGAGAGTCAATTGTTTATTTTGAACTAAAAATCGATTGAACTGGACCCACAATTTTTATCTTCCTTGACTTCAGCGTTGGCGTCTTCCTCTTCCGCCTCAGGGATTCCCGAGCCTTGTTCCTAAAAACAACAATATCAGTAACCTACAAAAACTTAAGATTTTACAAAACAAAAACAAAAACGCTGCTCACCTCATTTTCTCCAGTTAACGGCGTCTCATCCATATCCTCATCACCATCATTCTCGGCTGTGATCGTTTTTTCGATCGGGAGATCCTCATCAGCACTTCCTTCGACTTCTTCCTGAAATAAGATAAGGTAAAAATTTTAATGATCACCTTGACATTTGAAAAACTTTGATTTTTCGCCAAACATGGAATATATTAGACATTGGCGCTACAAACTACAAGGCCAGGCTACAAACTCTTGTAGAAACGCGTAGAATAGATATTTTCGAAAACTTTTTTGACCAAAAAATTAGGCCAACTTTAGGCTTTCGAATGACACCAAAATCAGGCCAAATCATATTTTAGGCGCTGAGATCTAACATTTTTTCAGGCTTATAGTCTCATCCCATGGGACGAGACTACAAACAGCTATAAATGGCTCATTCTTGGAGTAAGAATGATGAATTGACTTGATTTTGGTGTCATTCGAAAGCGTAGAGTTTGCTTAATTTTTTGGTAAAAAAAGTTTTCAAAAATATCTATTCTACGCATTTCTATAAGGATTTGTAGTCTGGCCTTGTAGTTTGTAGCGCCAATGTCTAATATATTCAATGTTTGGCGAAAAATTGAAATAAAGTCAAGCTAGAATCAAATGTCAAGATGCTCATTAAAAGTCTTTACCTCGTCGTTTTCCTCTTCCGATTCTGGTTCAGCCTCCTTTCGCTTCGGTTTTACGATATCGTCCTTCGTTTCCTAAAGATTTTTTTAAAATTAACAGATTTCTTGATTTCTTGTTAAAATTAGGCACTGCAACACCAAACCCAAAACCTTTTCCCTCAAAAAAATAAACGTTTCCCAACAAAATCCCACACTCTCCCTACCCCGCTCATCAAATCGACCGCTTTGATCACTTTCATCGCACTTCGATCAATCGGCGTTTCTTTCTTTCTTTTTTCATCGGCTTTCACTTCATCATCATCTTTCACTTCATCATCATCTTTTGCCCTGATTATTTTCATTTTAGACTTCTCAGCTCTCAGTTCTTCTTCAATTTGATCAATATCAGCCTCAGCAAGTTTTTCATCATCATCATCATCATCTTCCTCATCTTCCTCGTCCGGTTCAGGTGTTGTTGTGGTCACTCTCCTTTTCTTATGCCGTTTCACTTTCTTTGTTTTCTTTGCTTTCACAGTCGTTGGCTCAACTTCTTCACTTTCCGCAAGCTTTACCACTTTTTCTTTCTCCTTTTCTACTTCTTTCGCTAATTTTTGTTTATCCTTTTCATCCAGCTCCGTATCAGGCTCATCTTCGGCCTGAACAACCGTCAATCCAGATTCTTCATCCGTTTTCGGTTTAGGTGTTGCTTTTTTTGTTGTTTTTGTTGTTGTTTTTGTTGTTGTTTTTGTTGTAAGTTTAGGTTTTGCTGTAGTTGTAGTAGTTGTAGATTCTGTGGTGGTTGGTTCTTGCTTTTTCGTTGTTGTAGTTGGAGCTGGTGTGGTAGAAGGCTCTGTCACTTTAACTTCTTTAGTAAGCTCAGCTGTTGTTGTCGTTTTTGCTGTAGTAGATTTGGGTTTTATTGTAGTCTTTGTAGTCGATAGAGTCACTGCTTTAGTTTCCGTTTTTTCCGTTGTAATCTGTTTTTCAATTTTCCCTTCTTTTACTGGTTCTTTTGTTGTCGATCCCATCTTATCCGTCCACTTATTTGCCAAATCAGCAATGATCGAATTCCCGTTCAATATCGACAAATGTTCGGTGGCAGTTTTAAGCAACTCATCCTTATGTTTCTGCAATTCATGTCTCAACTCCAAAGACGAGTTATCAATTTTCTTCTTGAACTCTTTCTCAAAAATCTCTTTCATCATTTTCCGGACTTTTGCTTCAAGTTGGCTATCGAAGACCGGATTTGTGGAATTTTTGAGTGAATCATTGCGCTTGACGACTTTTTTCTGCGCATTTTCGAATTTCTCTTTGGCGGCTGTGTGAAAAACGATGTTTAATTTCTTTGTGGTTGGTTTAGAAGAAGTGGTTGTTTTCGGTGTAGTTGATTTAGGCGTTGTAGAAACCGTTGTGGAAGCACTAGTCATTTTTGTTGTCTCCTCAACTTTCCCTACAGTACTTAAGGTTTGCTCAATAATTTCAACAATTTTCTTGGTGGTTTCAAAAGTTACAGTGGTAGTTGTTGACGGAGCGTTGGTGGTTGTAGTTGATGTGGTTGACTCGGTTGTAGTAGTCGGTGATTCAGTTGTGGTTGTTGAAGTGGGAATAGAGGCAGTTGTCGATGGTGTTGTAGTGGGAGTAGAGGCAGTTGTCGATGGTGTTGTAGTGGTCACAGTTGTCGTTTCCTTTGCTTTTGTCGTAAGTTTAGCCTTTTTGGTGGTCTTTTTAGGCTTCTCCTCAATCTCCTCCTAAAATTGATGAATCAACGAACACAAGGGTTTACAGTCAAGAAGTAGATTTTGTAGCCAGAAGTCTCATATAAGCTAATGTTGTTCAGATCTTAAATACCTCATCATCTTCGTCGTTATCGTCATCATCTGTCGAAGTCTCCTTCTCATCATCCTCATCATCAATATCCTCGTCATCTTCATCCTCATCTTCATCTTCAGCTGCTGCTGTAGTTGTTGGCAGCTTCTTTGTAGGCTTATGAAGCTGAAAAATCGGTACAATCCTTTTACACTCCGCAAGTATTTGTGCCCCTGCATTAATCCTATTATACCGCGCAAAATTAGCATTATTAAAATTTGTAAATATCCAAAAGTTCAATCGACTAGAATCAGTTGTTTTGAAGCTTTTGAAATGCAAATTTTGCGGGAATAGAACAAAGAAGTATCGAAAAATCTATTCAAAACATAGATAATTTGGCTTACATTTGGCTTAGTCACAATCTCCTTTTTCGGTGGCTCGGTGGCTGTAGTGCTGGGACGGAGAAGAAGTGGAGCCTCTCCTTTAAACCTAAAAACTTGCCATTATCTTCTTTTGCTTATAAAATAAACCTTGGCAAGATTAAATCCAAAAGTTTTGCATTGATAATGTCATGTTTTTGTGATTGAATCATTTTTGGATCGATTTTGTCAACATCGGGTGGAGGGGCGACTCGTTGAAACTCTGATGGTGGCGGGGTTGGGCTGAGATTTCACTCGTATACAATCTATCAGTCACATAATGGATAAATAATGTTTGGATTATGTTTTTCTTTAAACTCACGCTCCAAAGATATTCTTGTGTGCCATCTTTTTCAATACATCTGACCATTGGTTGATTGATTCTTTGAATCCAAATTGATCCGCATAAGAATCATCTTCATTGTTGTTACTGCCAAAATCCCAAAATTGAGCGCTAGTTGGAGTAAAAAGTGAAAGAAGCACTAGCAGAAGCCAGCGCATCGTTGATGTGACTCTAGAATGGAAATTTAGAATTCAAAAATTCAAAGATAAAAAGGCTAAGCTCAAAAGTTTTCATAAAATCAATAACCAAATTTTTCTCGATCACTTTCTGATAGGAGAGAAATCCGGACGGACAATCAGTTTTCAATGGATAGAAAGGAAAAGAAGTTGAAGATTAAAGGAAAGAGTCAATCCATTGAAGGGAAAGAAAAACGGGCTTTCAGACCTCTAAAATGAGAAGAACGGAACGGGTTCACGGGTCAGTCTTTTCCCACTTAATTCTCTCAATTGACCCTCCTCTGCTCGCTCATTTCAGGCTTTCGTCGAGGTTTGGCTTAAAAAATCAAACACAAGCACCGCTCTATTGAGAAAAGAATAAAATAGGGTAATTTTCAATGATGCAAGCTTTAAAAGCATTTCTTGGCTTTTTAGCTTATTAGAACATTTCTGATTTTGTGTAGATTCTGGAAAAATATTGAAAGAAATAAAATAATGAAGAGATAAGTGATTTTGAAAGCTGACACGTTGTAGAAACTTTTGAGAAAAAGAGCTGAACTCTTGAAAGCTTCGTTTTTTGGTATTGAACCAATACAAATTCGGGAAGAATTTCAGCTAGTATCAATAGGAACTTAGAAACTTCAAAAATGGTGACAGGGAGGTCTGTGAAAGCTTTCTCCTTTTTTTCTCCTATGAAAGAGACTCCAAAATGGCGTGAACCGGGTCAAATCGTGGATCGAGAAGATGCCGACACAAACCCCCCTTCTCAACCCATCTATTCCCCTTTTTCCATTCACTTTCCCCCACGATAAACCATCGACACTTTCCCTGAAAGGAGATAATCTTTCAAAAGAGAGAATTCTGAAATAATATTTGCAGTTTACAGTTATCGAACATTACAGATGATTCACAAGGAGAGACTTTTGCAGTGCTAAATCGAATACCGTATTCTCTCTAATAGTAGTGCGCACTACTATTTTTTCAACCCCCTCCTGGACCGCAATACTATTGGAGAGTGCACTACTATTAAAGAGTTTTATCATTTACGAAAGTAAGACAGATATAAGATTTGTTGCAAAAATTCTTGCAATTCTTTCACGAACTCCTTTGGTTCCTTTTGACATACAGTTGTGGGCCGGCGAGTTGACAATTTGTGTCTTGACAAACAACAAAAAGATGTTTTTGCACTTTGCACGACAATTTTAGATTTTTTGCTAACTTTTTGATGTGAAGAATAGTTAATAAATGAATAAAAAAAGCCTCACTTTTGCTTGCGTGAATAGCTTTAGAATTTCACATAAACATAAAGTCAAAAAGGTTTAGATGAAAAAGAAGCACCAGAAATTCAAATTTTCGTGGGTGCACTACTATTTTTTGAACCCTCTCACGGACCGCAATACTATTAGAGAGTGCACTACTATTAAAGAGTGAACTACTATTAGAGAGAATACGGTACCTGTTATAGGTCACAGGTCACAAAACATTATGTAAAACGTTAAGTTGAGTATCATTAAATCAAAAGACAAGCTTTAACAATCTTAAATCTCAAAGCTTTTCAAAGAAAATCTGTGAAAAGTTCTGAATTCGATAATAAAAGAAAAGGAAGTCTTAGAGAAAGGAAACATCTATAAACGGCTCGATATTGGAAAGGAGCTAACGGAAGGGAAAACGAATAAAAGAGGAAATCTCGGTCACCGAACATTTGCATAGAGGAGGGCATAAATTCAAAGAAATGAAAAAAAAGGAAAAGAAAGAAGAAAAGGAAAGAAGAGAAGAATTTGTAGATTTGAAATCGACATAACTTTTCTGAATTCTCTAGCCTCGTTTTGTTTTGTGTGCTGTTCTCATTCAAAAAGCTGTTTAATGTTTAATGCAATTAGAATCAATAATATACATTGATTTACAATCAAAATTTCTCTATAATAGAATTTCCTCTAAGTGTATTGAGACGAATTTTCTCTTTTTCTTCTTCTTTACTGTGACGAATTCCATAAAGAAAATAGATACAAAAACCTGGAAATTTCTTTTCTTTGCAATTAATTTCAACCTACCAATAGCTAGCCAAATCGCAAATCGAAGCCAGACCATGTAGTTCAAATTAACCAACATCATTATGTTAAGGAATAAGGAAAAAGCGGGTAGAATGGGTACAAATGGGACCTAAATAATAACTTGTTAATTTATAGACATTCTGAGGTTTTTTAGTATTTGAATAAGTTTCTAGGAGAACCTTGAACGTAATCACATCATTGTTTTGCGTGTGTAGTCCGATCCAAAATATGCAAGCAATTGCGAAAACCAAAAAAAGTACAGTGCAAACTTTTCCAAGAACACCAGATGACCAAAAGCTTGAAGACATAGAAACTCCTGAAAAGTTTTGTTATACAATTATTTTTGATTTCTGACCAAATCCAGCGAATCCAAGCAACATCAAGACTAAGCCAGGGACAATCGATCGAGTATTTGTAAATCGCATTAACCAATTTGGGATTCGAATTGTGAGAAAACGATCATTTCCTTAACATCATAAAGTTTAAAAAAACAAATGCTAGCAAACTATTTTCATCTAAATAATCTTGTCGATATCGGAGAATAATCACGCAAACAGCCACCATTGAATAAGCAAGGAGAGTGCCTAGGGAAATCTCTCTGTTATTCATATAGCCTTACCTACCGCAAATACTGTAATAGTACCCGACCCCCTCGTACAGTCGCGTAGTCGCAAAAGTTTTTTATTTCATTTTTTTCAAAGCGTCCGTACTTTCAAAAAATGCGTCTTTGGTATCAAAAAATAGCTGAAATTCAGGGCTATTTTTTGATACCTAAACGCGCATTGTAGCATAAACCAGTGTCGAGAAAAACTCGTTCAAAGCTCGACTACGCAACACTTTGCACCTCATTATGGGAGTGGAGTACTATTACAGTATACAGTAGGATTAGAGAATTTTTCTAAAGAAATCTTTCTTTTATTGATATCGCTTTGTATTTATTTCTCTATGTGTACAAATTGAATCTAATCCTTCTACCTGATGACAAGAAATCGACAAGAGTCTCAACATTGAATAGTGCAGCCATGATCGCCGTTATGAGGCCGAAAACAATGATGGCATAAATTGGAACCTGGATATCAATACTACAATTTCTGATGCTTCAACCTTTCAACCTTAGTTTTTGAATTGACTCTTGAGAAAAATTTAAACAGCAATCCATCATCAGCCATTGCATAAACACAACGTGGTAGAGCGAAGAGGCAACCAAACTAAATCCTCAGCTACAGGGTGAATAAGTTTTTTCTTTTCTTTTCTTTTCATCTTTTTGTTTCTTTTCGTACTTTCTTTGAAAAATTACAAATTCACCAATTAACCTATTGTTTATTCCAAAAAAAAGTGTTTATAAAAGTATTATTAATAGTTTGTTTGACGTATCGTTAAACACAAGCTCGATCAATTTTGTAGAATCTGGCAGCGGCACGAACGCGGAGACTTCGCGAGTCACTTTTGCAGCATCGAGTTTAGTCTTCGCATCTTCGCATTTATTGCTTTTTTCTTTCACCTTGGTTTGTCCGTTCCCTCGTGCAATTTTTCGTTCAATTCATGTTGATATTCTTGTCCTTCTTCAAAGAATCTGTTTAATTCGTGCTCACTTTAATCTCATAGGCATTAAGAAGCTTTGAGATTCAACAAGTTTTGAATTTGATTTCATCTGATGAACTAATCAATAAACTTCTTGATTTGTATAAAGCTGTTGCATTGATTATTAAAGTTATTTGACCAATTGTACAATTGTACAATTGTACAATTGGTCAAATAACTCGCATTAACCAATTTGGGATTCGAATTGTGAGAAAACGATCATTTCCTGTACAATTGTACAATTGACCAATTGTAGTTCAATTGGTTCATTTGTTGGTTTTAAACGAAAGTATGAAAAGAAACGAAAAGACTTTCCGGAGCCTAATAAATTTTGATATAGTCAATCTAGTGGACATAATGTTGGGTGATCTAGCTCACCATAGTGCCTGTCATTCCACAAATTGCTCCAATTGTCACACAAATCACTGGCACATGAGCACCCTTGTCTTTGAACGCGGTGACAAAAGCAGCGTCTGGATCAATCTGGAAATGAAAAAACAACTTGAAAACGATTATTGTTTATCTCTTTTTTTTGTTTTCTTATCTCTGATCAACTCTTACTTCAGTATATGGGGCAATCAATGATATCGCACTTGACATCAACACATAAACAGTTGTCACAATCGCCATACAATAAAATGTGGCTCTTGGGAGGGATTTAGCCGGATCTGAAATCAAGAATGAAAACTTTTAAAGAAAAACTGAGAAATAAGGGACTTTTTGTGCTTCGCTTTGAAAGCTTCATTTCATTACGCTATTTCTACGCTCATAGCACAAAATAGTATTTTTATACTCCGAAATTTCAGGGTGATGGTTTATTGAATGAGCAGCTCCTCTAAAATAAAGAATATAAATAATTTAACGACATTATCAAAGGGATTGGGTGGGTTGGTCTTATACTAAACTAAAAACTCTGCTAACGATTGAACCAGAATGAAAATTTTTGATAAATTTCCCCCTTTTATACACTTTCTTAAGCCTACGGTAGTTCATCCACCCTATAATCCAAACACTCCAGCTGAATACTTTTTGTTACAGAACAAAAATGGTGCATCCTGAAAGAGCATAAAATCATATTTTTTACCTTTTACTTCTTCTCCAGCTGTCGCCAATCCATCAAAACCGATAAAGCTAACAAAACAAGAAGCTGCTCCCGCCAATGTCCCGCTGAAGCCAAATGGAAAGAATTTCGATTTTCCGTCAGATGTTGTGCCTAATTTTTGCTTTAATCTATAATATTTTTCGTTTTTACCTGTCCAATTGCTAAAGTCAGCATAGATAAAAGCATAAATAGTCACAACAGCAATCATCTAAAGTTATTGTAAGGCCATAGAAAGCTTTCAACACTTACTGAGACATTTAGCGCAACATTCAGACTGTTAAAAGTGGCTGATCCCTTTGCTCCCATCGCTACGATTGCCTAAAGTTTGAGTTTAATCTCATTGTTCTGAAGAAACTAACACAAATGACAATTGGAATCAGAAAAGACAACAAATCAATGTATTCAGCAAAGATACTTGTCTAAAAGAGATTTTTTTTGATTTCAGTTGGTTTAATCAAACATGTAATTCCCCAATGTGAGTGATGGTGAAGTTCTTGATGGCATCATCAGCCAACACATTGATATAACTAGACCATGCACGAGCAACAACTGAAGAACAAGAACAGCTTTATGATCTATGACCTATTCTTTACCTGCAGCAGCAAGCATATTCTCAAGAATCACATCCCAACCAATGATGAATGCCCAAAGCTCTCCACAACCGATGTATGTGTAAGTGTAAGCGCTACCAGCTTTCGGAAATCTTAAGGGTAAATACCGTAAATACTGTAATAGTACCGCACCCTCATAATGACGGTGCGGAGCGTTGCGTAATCTAGCTTTTAGCGAGTTTTTCTCGACACTGGTTTATGCTACAATGCGCGCTTAGGTATCAAAAAATAGCCCTGAATTTCAGCTATTTTTTGATGCCAAAGATAATGACGGTGCGGAGGGTTGCGTAATCTAGCTTTGAACGAGTTTTTCTCGACACTGGTTTATGCTACAATGCGCGCTTAGGTATCAAAAAATAGCCCTGAATTTCAGCTATTTTTTGATACCAAAGACTCATTTTTTGAAAGTACGGACGCTTTGAAAAAATGAAATACTAAAAAACTTTTGCGACTACGCGACTGTACGACGGGGGGTGGGGTACTATTAAAGTATTTACGGTAATTTTAAGTCCTAAACATTACCTAGATCCAAATTCAGCATAACATAAAGCTGAAAAGAAAGCGGCAAAGCCAGCGAGAATGAAAGAGAGAACGATTGAGGGGCCAGCTGTATTTCGGATGACCGTGCCTAAAAAACGGTGAGTGAAGAAAGGATATTTCATATAAAACCTGTCAACACATAGATTCCAGCTCCAATCGTGTGCGCAACACCAACCATTGTCACATCAAAGGTTGTGAGACATCTAGATTCAGACTTTGCAGGTGAAAAAAAAAACTTGGATTAACCTTCTCAAATTTGTATCCAGCGGGATACTTTCAAATCGTTTCCGGCGAAGAAGTTTGTGAATAAAGGCTTTCATTATTCAATGTCAAAACCTTTTTAGTTCAAAGTTTTATGAATGAGATTTATTTAGCAATCTTGTGTGGGTTATCAGTTTCAGATTTTCTCCAAAACACCTTCAACCAAACAAACACTTTTAAAGCCTTATCAGCTGCAAAACAATTTTTAAACAATTCCCCTAATTGACCCAGTTGTCGGCTGGGAAGATCAAATGTTATCGTTTTAGGCCTTTTCGTTTCCTGCTTAATTTAACAGGTTTAACATGACAGTTTAATGGTGTTGAGAGAAAATTATTTATTTATCAATCAAAAAGAAACAAAACCATCATTTATTTATTAAAATTTCTCCGTCAAAATGGGTGGTACATGTAGTTGTTTCTCTTTTTTCCCTTCTAGACTGTGATGCATTCCATAAAGAAAGTAGATGCCAAGACCTAAAGAAATTATGAAATTAGGCCCTTCTTCTCGCTTCTTTCTCGCCGGCTAGACAAATGCTTATAGCGCTTATAGCTTACAAACAGAGGTAGAGCGTCTGCCTGGAAGAAGAACAATTGAGGGTTCGATTCCCCTCCGCTCCTTGCAAAATTCCCCTTGCTTATAGCTTACAAACAGAGGTAGAGCGTCTGCCTGGAAGAAGAACAATTGAGGGTTCGATTCCCCTCCGCTCCTTGCAAAATTCCCCTTGCTTATAGCTTACAAACAGAGGTAGAGCGTCTGCCTGGAAGAAGAACAATTGAGGGTTCGATTCCCCTCCGCTCCTTGCAAAATTCTTTTTTGAAAACGAAACGAAACAAAAAGCGAAAAAGGAAATGAAGTGAGGAGGAAGGAGAAGAAGAAAAAGAAAGAAGACAAAAAATTTGGTTCAAATTTGAATTACCGTATTTTCTGTAATAGTAGTGCGCACTACTATTTTTTCAACCCCCCTCCAGCCTGCACTACTATTATAGACTGCACTACTATTACAGAAAATACGGTATTAACTGTTTTTCGTGAAAGAAAACTGCCGAAAAGGCTTCTTTTATTAAACTTATCAAAGATTCTCTACCCTTTTTGAAATCACAAACATTTTCATTATTTCAACTCACCGACAGCTAGCCATATCCCAAATCGAATCCATACCAAATAATCCAAATTAGCCAACATCATTGTGTTAAGAAATAGAGAAAATGCTGGTAAAATTGGTACAAATGGTACCTAAAAATTCGATCAGCTGATGGTAAGAGTTAGTTTTTTGTAAATTCAACCTTGAAAGTAAGAACATCATCATTTTGTGAATGTAATCCAATCCAAATGATGCAACAACAGGCAAAGAGCAAGAAGAGAATTGCACAAGCTTTTCCGGCCCATCCAGAAGACCAAAAGCCAGATGACATACAAATTCCTGAGCAGAATTTATATTGTCAACTTTATTCACTAACCAAATCCAGCAAAACCGAATAGCATTGGGATCAAGCCAGCGACAACCGATCGAGTGTTTGTAAATTTCATTATCCAATTCGGGATTCGAAGTTTGAAGAAGCGATTCTCTCCTGTAATGAAATATAAAATTTTCAAGTTTTTTTATTAACTGTTATCATTTGAATAATCTTGACGATAACGTAGTACAATGACACAAACAGCAACCATTGAATAAGCCATTAGAGTGCCTGGAAATTGAATGGAGATAAGGTTATAATGGAGATAAGCTTGCTTACCCGACGATAAGAAATCCACCAGAGTCTCAACATTGAATAGAGCAGCCATGATCGCAGTCATTAGACCAAAGACAGCAATTGCGTAAATTGGGACCTAAAATATATATATATATGTGCTTTATTCAGGGGCGAATAGAAGCGAGTCAGATAATCATAACCGCATATAACATATTGCTACAATACTTTCACAAAAAAAGAAAGAAAGAAGACTAAAGACTAAAGAAGAAAGAGAGAAGACTAAAGAGAAAGAAGACGGCTAGCCGAAGGAGTCTGAGACTTGATCGGCTAGCCGAAGGAGTCTGAGACTTGATCGGCTAGCCGAAGAAGTCTGAGACTTGATCGGCTAGCCGAAGGAGTCTGAGACTTGATCGGCTAGCCGAAGGAGTCTGAGACTTGATCGGCTGCCGAAGGAGTCTGAGACTGATCGGCTAGCCGAAGAAGTCTGAGACTTGATCGGCTAGCCGAAGAAGTCTGAGACTTGATCGGCTAGCCGAAGGAGTCTGAGACTTGATCGGCTAGCCGAAGGAGTCTGAGAATTCTTCGGCTGAAATCCTTCATCGGCTACGACATATGCTTTATTCAGGGGAGAATAGAAGCGAGTCAGATAATCATAACCGCATATAACATATTGCTACAATACTTTCACAAAAAAAGAAAGAAAACTAAATCGTTTTCCTTTTCATAATACTCATTTTAACCTTTGTTCTAGGATTGACGATCGAAAAAAATTTAAAAATCAATCCATCTTCAGCCATTGCATAAACACATCGAGGCAAGGCGAAGAGACAACCAAACTAAAGCATTTAACAATAAAATTTTAGATTGGTTAAAATATATGTAAATAATTTAAATATAATTATTAGATAGTAGACTTGTAACGAAAAGATCTTTCTGTCTTTTCCCGTTAGCAATTTTACGTTTTTCTCAGTACCAACCCTTTGATTTTAACTATTTTGACTAAAATTCGATGCAAAATAAAATTACGCGTCAAATGATACCAAAATTTACTCAAAATTTAATCTCCACGGAAAGTTATGAGGCAAATGGTCTCGGCAAAAGGTTTTCCCGTCTATAATGAGCAGAGTTTAGATTTTTAGCCAACAGCTTTACGTGGATATTAAATTTTGAGTTAATTTTGATATCATTCAACGCGCAATTTTATTTTGCATCGAATGATAGTCAAAATAGTTAAAATCAAAGGGTTGGTGCTGAGAAAAACGTTAAATTGCTAGCGGGAAAAGACAAAAAGATGTTTTCGTTACAAGTCTACTATCTAATAATTATACTTGAATTATTTGCATATATTATTATAATCATATAAGGGTTGGTGCTGAGAAGAACGTTAAAACGTTAAATTGTCAATGGCAAAAACGATTGACAAATGTTTTCGTTACAATTCTATTAGATAATATTATTTTAAAAGTACGAGAATGTGAATACCGTATTTTCTGTAATAGTAGTGCAGTCTATAAGAGTGGTGCGGTCTGTAAAAGTGGTGCAGGCAGGAGGGGGGTTGAAAAAATAGTAGTGCGCACTACTATTACAGAAAATACGGTATCATTTATTTGATTTACCATACTGCCGGTCATTCCACAGATTGCTCCAATTGTGACACAAATCACTGGAATTTGAGCACCTCGATCTTTGAAAGCGCTCACAAAAGCAGCGTCTGGATCGATCTAAAATAAAAGATCTTCAACTATTTAAGACAAATTGGCTTTCTTTTAGTATTTTCTAATAATGAACCTCTGTATATGGAGCAATCAGTGAGATTGCACTTGACATTAACACATAAACTGTTGTTACTATTCCCATGCAGTAAAAGGTAGCTTTTGGAATCGCCTTTACCGGATCTAAAACTGAAACTTAAGATCTTCAAGCAAGTAAATCTTACCTTTAGCCTCTTCTCCAGCTGTTGCTAATCCATCAAAACCGATAAAGCTAAAGAAACATGAAGCTGCACCAGCTAGTGTCCCACTGAAACCATATGGGAAAAATTTTGATGTTCCATCAGCAGTGGTTCCTTAATTTATATGGTTTTGATAGGAAATTGTTTTAAAACCCTCTTACCTGTCCAGTTATTGAAATCAGCATAAATAAAGGCAAAAATTGTGACCACAGCAATCATCTGTAAATATTAATTGGACATTAGTTGCATTGATACTTACAGCAATGTTTAAGAGTCCATTGAGACTATTGAATGTTGCTGATCCCTTCACTCCACCTGACATAATCACCTGGAACAACATTGAAAAGGAAAACTCTCGAGAAACTTACACAAATAACAATAGCAATGATGAAAGCTAGCACATCTAAGTAATCAGAAAAGATACTTGTCTGAAAAGGGAATCAAATTATTGGGTCAGTGCATTGAAAACTGCCGGACTTTATTTATTCAACTAAAATTTATTCAACATAAAACCATCAATTCATTCGAAATAATTTCCATTATTATTGACGACTTCTGCCTATTTTACAGGCAATTTGCGGATTCCTCTTTCGTAGTAGGATTTTGGTTTGTGTGTGAGACAAGTGTGAGACTCAAAAATGGAGGACTGGAGATGTCCCAGTTTGAGCACTTTCTTCAAAAGAAACCCATTTTGGTGTCAATAGAAAAGTTGTAGGGAATCAATAATTAGGCTTGTAGCCAAATTTCCAAAAAGATACACTCAGTAGTTTCGCTTAAAATGCAAGTTTTGTGAAAATTCGTAAATTTGGCATCTCTTGAAAATCAGTTTTTGAATCGTTCTGAAAATTTGGATGTAAGCTTGATTTTTGATTCTCTACAACTTTTCCATTGACATCAAAATGGGTTTCTTTTGAAGAAAGTGCTCAAACTATGACCTATGACAATAGCCCGCAGTTTTCAATTCACCAATCCAATAGAAGCTCAAATTCATTTTACATGCAATCCTCCAATGTGATGAATGGTGAAATTTTTGATAGCATTATCTGCTAATACATTGATATAACCCGACCATGCACGAGCGACAACTGAAAGGGTTTTTTTTTATGATTTCAGTTTTGATTCGAAGACCTGCAGCTGAGAGCATATTCTCAAGAACGACATCCCATCCAATAATGAACGCCCAGATTTCACCACAACCAATGTAAGCATATGAATAAGCGCTTCCTGCTTTTGGAAATCTTAAGTTCAAAATAAGAATTCTAAGCTTTGAATTTCTACCTAGAGCCAAATTCAGCATAACATAAAGCTGAAAAGAAAGCGGCAAAGCCAGCGAGAATGAAAGAGAGAACGATTGAGGGACCAGCTGTATTTCGGATGACCGTGCCTAAAGTTATTGTCATTTCATTTGTTATTTGATTTACTTTTTGATTTATATGTCAAAGTTATTTGATTGCCAAAGCTATAGGAAGAAATTATTTCAAGAATTGCACCTGTTAGTACATAAATCCCAGCTCCAATCGTTTGTCCAACTCCAATCATCGTAACGTCGAATGTTGTGAGACATCTAGAAGTACTTACCGTAAATACTGTAATAGTACCCCAGCTCCATAATGACGGTGTGGAGTGTTGCGTAGTCTAGCTTTGAACGAGTGTTTCTCGACACTGGTTTATGCTACAATGCGCGCTTTGGTATCAAAAAATAGCTGAAATTCAGGGCGATTTTTTGATACCAAAGACGCATTTTTTGAAAGTACGGACGCTTCGCAAAAAATGAAATACTAAAAAAATTTTGCGACTACGCGACTGTACGGCGGGGGTGGGGTACTATTACAGTATGTACGGTAAGCTTTAGTTTACTGTCAATCTACAATCACATCAATCCTGTAACTGTTAATGTGCAATTGTTGTCATCAAACTTCGATTTTAAAGCTATTAGACTTTTCCCGAATCTTTTACCGTTTCAAGTTCGTGTCCAATGGAGTTGTTTCAAAGCGTTTCCTTCGAAGAATCTTTTGCAATAATTGTTTCATGTTCACAAGAATAATGTACACAAATGACTGGACTTGTGATTGGACAAGTTTTCGAATGTGATTGATTTCTATGAATCAACCTCTTCAACGCCCCTTCCTGTTTAGTTATCGGAAGTTTTGTGATCGAAAACAGCTTTTTATTGCTAAACAAACACACTTGTGCCACCAAAAAAGCCTTATCAAATTGAAAAGATTCGAAAATAAATCCCCTAAATGACCCGTCTTTATTCTATAAAGTCAATTTTATGAGGTCAAATGCGTAATTTGAAATTTTGAAGGTTTGAAGGTTTGAAGGTCAAGTTCAACTGCACGAAAAGCTTTGATTTTTCTGAATCAAATGCTTTCTTCTATTGGGTTGGTGAATTGAAAACTGCCGGACCTTGAACTAAAATTTATTCCACATAAAACCATCAATTCATTCCAAATAATTTCCATTATTATTGACGACTTCTGCCCATTTTACAGGCAATTTGCGGATTCCTCTTTCGTAGTAGGATTTTGGTTTGTGTGTGAGACAAGTGTGAGACTCAAAAATGGATAGACTGGAGATGTCTCAGTTTGAGCACTTTCTTCAAAAGAAACCCATTTTAGTGTCAATAGAAAAGTTGTAGAGAATCAAAAATTAGGCTTATAGCCAAATTTCCAAAAAGATACACTTAGTAGTTTCGCTTAAAATGCAAGTTTTGTGAAAATTCGTAAATTTGGCATCTCTTGAAAATCAGTTTTTGAATCGTTCTGAAAATTTGGATGTAAGCTTGATTTTTGATTCTCTACAACTTTTCCATTGACACCAAAATGGGTTTCTTTTGAAGAAAGTGCTCAAACTGTCACATATGACAATAGCCCGCAGTTTTCAATTCACCAACCCAATAACTAGCTAGACAAAACCTAGATTTTGGCAAAACCTAGAAAGCTAAGATTTTATTACATAGAAATAAACGCAATTATAATGTTTAAATGCTTTGAACTTGAGTTTAATGTTTTTATTGAATAAATTTCAGTGTTTGACAGGGTTAACTTAAAAATTAATAGACTGTAAGTGAAAAAATAAAAGAAAAGAATAGAAAATTTAAAATTGAAAAGCCTAGCAACTTAGGATCATAATCTTGATGAAAATATTGTAATTAGCCAACATTTAAGGAAAAAGATGAATAAAATTGATGAAATCAAAAAGATCTTATCGTCCTCCAAAGGCAACTCTTTCTTCGTGGCGTTTCCGATTTCCGTGTGGTCGGCAAACTTTTCCGTGACACCTGAAAACATTAATACCGTATTTCTTCGAATAGAAGAACGGGTAAAGAGTATCATCGCGTACTCCTGCGTAGCAGCCCTTTTTGACATTTCTTTTCTGCATAAAAGCTTTCAATCAAGTGCCATAGAGCTGGAAAATGGCTCAAAAATCTGTTAGCTCATGTAGTATTTTTGAGCCATTTTCCAGCCCTATGGCACTGCAATGAAAGCTTTTATGCAGAAAAGAAATTTTAAAAAGGGCTGCTACGCAGGAGTACGCGATCATACTCTTTACCCGGTCTTCTATTCGAAGAAATACGGTAATCTTGATCAAATCTTTTTGCCAAGCGCTTACCAAACTGTAATTCCAACTAGTAAAGCAATAATGAAAACAATTAGAGAGAATAAAATGAAGTAACAGTTCATATCATCGGCCTTCATTCTTCTGAAATAAAATTCGATTAGAAATTAGACTTTTCAAGACGCCTTAACGAATCTATCAAGTTTATCAATTGAATAAAGCTTTGAAAGTCATTTTTTAAAGTTATGTATGTAAAATTGAAAGTGAAGAAAGGCGTAAGTAAGCTAACTGGGTAGTTTAAAAGGTGGGATCGTCTCTGTTTGCGAATGCCGCTCGCAGTCCTTTCCCCTCCTCTCTCTTTCTCATTCATTTCCATTCTCCGATTATGTTTGTTTGTTTTAACATCTTCGCATTTCTTTTGACCGTAGCAACCGGAAAATCAAAAGAAATTGAAAATCGAAAGAAAATGAAAGAAGGTCAATTTATTTGAGATTGAGTTACGGAAAATGTTACCTGTTTGGAGCAGCTTTCTGAGAAAATGTTCAATGTTTTCTTTGTTCCGATGCTTTAAATGGTTACATAGTTTTAAAAGCAAAAAGCTTGCTTCGAAAGCTTGCTTAGATAAATTTTGACTGTGTGATTTAATCATTTTGTTTGTGAGAAAGGAAATGCTCGATCTGATTCATGCAGTAGTTCAAAAGACTATCAGGAAATACTGCCCTGCTTTTGTTTGCTTATTTTAAATGAAAATGAGAAATCTTACGAGCCTGAAGATAGTTGGATGATGCAGATCAAAAACTTGTGCGCCGCAGGGTCTCGAACCCTTGGCTTTCCAGGCAACTATTGGGTTGGGGAGAATGAGTCGGCGCCAAACTTTAAAGGGACTTTTTGCACACATAAAGCCTTCTTTAAACATACGTTTGGTTTCATCAAAAGGATCCACTATTTCTCTACAAAATCACTTTTGAGAGATTCCACAAAGCTTTTCTTTCGTGGAGTTTATGAACTTCCAAACGCAGCTGGTTAAAATGGCAAAGAGTCCGACTCATCATTTGAACAGTTTCTTTCACATAAACCTTCTTTGGTGTTTATATAAAAAAAGATAGAGCACATTCAATTACTTAAGTTGCCAAATTTGCAGGAAGATCCCACCAATGGTTTTTTCTAGATGACAGTTTGTAGTTTTTGTGAAAAAATGGCTTTTTCTTGAGCGGAGGCGCTGTTTGAATTTTCTTTTAAATGTCATTTTGTAGAGAATTAGTTAACCATTCTACTCATATCAAACGCATATTATTTGACGAAGTCGAATAGAAGTTTTAGACATTTTTTTGATTTTCGGCGCCGACTCATTCTCCCCAACCCAATATGATAACCACTACACCACAATGCACCTGTTCTCCTTTACTCCAGAGGGAATTAACTAGATAGATAAAGAATATTATTTGCCCTCTGTAAAATCTTATGTCATTCCTTTATTTTAGACATCAAGCACAATAAACCTTATCTTTGCTTGTAATTTGGAAACTGCGGAATTCCTTTTTCTAGAAAATAAGTATTAGACATTTAGGTAGCTATTACTTCAGTGACTGTAGGATTTTAAGAGGAATGAAGTAGTAAAATGTGTTGATGAGCTTTGAAAGAGTTTCGCAACAAGGCGAATATTGTCGCTTTGTTGAAAACGAACCTCTACCGATTACTATATAACAATGCAATGTTTAATGCAATGCGTAAAAGTTTATTCCTTGCATTTTGGCTTGCAAACACAAGTGGATACAGTCCACGAGAGTTCACAATGTCCAGTCGTGTACTTTTTGTGAGTACACGAGTTGGTCATTTTCTGACATTTGTGTCGACAATCGTCTCCTCCATGAATACCAAGGCAAGTCAATCGTTTCACTCGATTCGCACGTATGTCCAAATTGCCTGGGTGTTCATTTAAATCACAGAGAATCTGTGAAACAAGTAGCAAAAGTAGGAAAGATGTAACAGTTGACTTCATCACTAAATTTTAATGATTTTATAAAAGAAAAATTGAAAAGATCAGTAAAAATTTGATTTGACACTTTTGGCAGCCACACTCTCAAGGATAAATTAGCATTAGCATTCGAATTTAGCGCCATAATTTCCATTTAAGAAGTGATAAAAAGGCAGAAAGCTATAAGAAAATAAAAATGAAGAAAATGCTAATTTTCCACTTGAAAATGATCGCCATAAGAGTCAAAAGTAACTTTGAAATTTATGAATTTGGAGATCCTTTTATAGCTATTGAAAATGTAAGTACATTTTCTTGAGTAAAGAAATTTGGTTAACTGATTTCATTAAAAACCGGTTTTTACTCATTGTTTTCATCGCAATTCATTAATTTGAACGTTTGATTTCTTTAAAAAAAGAGAAAACATTGTTTATTTGAAAATTTCGATGTCAGGGTACATTAGGGTAAAATACCCTATTCGGAGAGCACTTTGAAGATAAAAAAGATTCCAAAGAATGGGTACAGCGCTACTTTGACTCAAAACCAAAGCCTTTTTAACAGAGTGGAATTCGCCTTCTACCAGTAAAATGGGCACAGGTTTAGAAAAAAATGGAATCTATTTTGCTTGCTTTAGATTGAAGTTATTGAATAAATATAAAGGAATAAATATTTCTGTTCAAAATCGACTCATTACTATGGGCCAACCTAATACTACGAGTAATCGTTTTTCCACATTTCCACATAATTATGCCGCACCCTGTATTTGTCTTTGTGATAAATAGCTTATACACAATTTATATGTAAGAAAAAATGCAGTAATGAATCAAAAATCAAATCACAAACAGGCACTAATTGAGTAGCTTTAGAAGCAAATTTTGTTGATAAAAGAAAAGAAAAAAAAAGAAAAAATGAAGTGAGATCTGTGAAAAGACTTGGATGAATGAGAACGAAATGTTTGTAGTGAAAAAGAAGAAAAAAAAAGATTTTTACTATGCGCAAAAATGACCCGAATCAGCATGACCAAAGATTGTTGAATTAGAAAGAATCAATGCATAAATAAATATGTTAATGAGTGAAGTGAAATGACCCGAATGAAGCTCTTGAGTAGATTTGAGAGTAATTAGAATTAGAAAAAGAAACTATAGACCATAAAAGTTAGCAGTTTCTCGAGGTCTATCATAAGTGCCAACAAAAGAAGTACAATTTGAATTTGTTTTGAAACTGAATAGTTTATGAGATGCATCATTTGATGAGACTTGACTGTTTCTCGATGATGATCCCCCACAGCGTAGCCCGGGATCACTTCCACTGCCATCCGTTCTGAAATTTGTTCTTCACAAAAAAAATGGCTGATGGCGGGATCGAACTCTGCATTGTCTGACTGAGAGACAGACGATGCCATGATGACAGATTGGCCCCCTACTAATTCACCATGATGACAGATTGGTCCATTACTTTTCCGCACCCTTTCTTCTCAACGTACTTTCTTCTTTATCCTTTATTGACAATCCTAGAATCCTAGGTTTCTAAGGTTCAAAACTTAAGCTGTCGATCATAACTTAACCTATAATTTTCCTTGTGACTAGATCGTTTTCCCAACTCACCCAGGATGTGGCGGACTATCACATGTTGTCCTCGTTTGTGGCTCTGATGACCCAGCCAGACTGTTGGAAGCGGTTCCAGCCGGTGAATAGAGAAGTGAATCCGGACTTCTGAAATTTTGAGTTAAGGGAATTGTCCTTGTCTCTCACCTATAGGCCATAATTCTTTGTGGGCTTGAGATGATACTCGGCAGAAGGGGATTCTGGATTTGTGGAGGGAAAGGAAGAGCAGCTCCATTGCTGAGCAGCATCTCATGAGAAGTGCCACTTTCTGGAGAATAACATCTCGCAGATGAGACTGTTCCTCCATAAACTCCATTGACTAAAAGGTTTCATATTGCTTCGTATTGCTGCCATGGTCGACTGGCTAAGAGCTCTTTATCTTAGCCAAGAGGCCAATCCCGTCGGCTAGATTTTTTCCCTATATTTAGCTTTTGCTTGTGTATTCTTGTACCATATTTTTCGGTGTATAAATGTATTTTTAAAAATATTATCATTGTTTTCAACTTACAATTCAATGTGTTCATGGTGATTAGCCCGGTATTCATATAATTGTGCTCTAAATGATCGTGAGGTGGTGGTGGAAGTGGATCTTCTTCAAGTTCCGGTAATCTTTCTTCTACTTCTCCATACACATTTGGCAAAATAAAGCCTTGACCATCACCATTTCCATTTTGCTGAAAAGTTTTTGTTTTATTGTTGCCAATTTCTCTAACCATTCTCAATGGTGAACATTCATCCACATCGTCGGTATTGAAGAAATCAGTGGGTAGCTTTGATTTGTGAACCTTTTGCTCATTAAATATCCGATATGAGGTGTCCAAGAATTTCCCATTAGCTCCTAAAGTTGATAAATAACGATACAACCTCAGGCTTACACGTTAGAATGTTTTAAAATCTCTTTTGTTTTAATCTTTTACCACTTTCACTCACCTTTCGTTTGTTTCTCGGCTTTACTTCTCAAGTTACAAAAAATGACACAGCAGACTAAAAGGATGATTAAAAGGAGAAGAGAAGAACCGAGAATGATGAGAATTGTTGAGAGTTCAACTCCTGGAGCGATTTGACGAAGGCCTTTAAAGAGAGTGTCGAAGAGACCGTTCTCCATCGATACGTCTAAAGTTTTGGATTAGAAATTTCTCAATAAAAGGGTTTCTATAAGTTAAGATAAGGAAGATCTATTGCAAATATTAATCTAGAGCTAATCTAGAGCTAATCTAGAGCTAATCTAGAGCTAATCTAGAGACCGTTCTCCATCGATACGTCTAAAGTATTGAATTAGAGATTTCTCAATAAAAGGCCAAGCTATCTGACACATCTTTATTTTTGGATTCAATTTTGTTACTGAATAAAGTAGTGGGTCACTAGGGCGTCAAAATGTCGGAATACAAGGGATTTGTTGTGTCAAAGATAAGAAAACTTCAAAATGAATCATTTGATTGCTAAAAGAGCTATAATTCTCAAAGAGAAATTGCAAAATTTCATTTCCAAGAATTGATCATAAAGCGGTTTCTTTTTCACTTACGATGTCGGTGCTTAGCAAATCGATAGCCCATGATTAAACGTTAAAAGTTTAAAGAAATTTTCAATTTTACTGACTGGGAATGTTTTTCTCGCATGTAATCCAAAAGTAAACGGAAAAAAGAGAGAAGAAAAAGCTCTATTTTCTCCAAACTAACAGGGATGATTTTTAAACAAGAGTTCTGTGAAATTCAAAAGTTTTTCGAGAGTTCTGTGGATATTTGGAACTGTTTGTGTTCTATGCATGAAAAGAGGAAAGGAAAGAGAGAGGTCGATGAAATTCGAGTCCCGGCTCGGCGCCTTTTGTCCCACACATCAAGTTTCCTCTCTCATTTTCTTTCCCTTTTTTTCTCTATGGTCACTTGGGAATATTCCAGCTCACTTGGTTATTTGATCGTTAAATCAAATGGGGAAAGTTTAACGGGAAAAGTCGTGATTTTCAAGATAACCTAGGTTTCTATAAATTAAGATAAGGAAAATCTATTGCAAATATTAATCTAGAGCTATTTTAGAGCTAATCTAGAGCTATTCTAGAGCTATTCTAGAGCCAATCTAAAGCTAATCTAGAGCTAATCTAGAGCCTATCTTTTTCTTCAACTTACCGAATGTTTTGGCTGAGATCGATTTGCTTTGTGGACTCCGACCAGCCTCGTTTTCAGAAACGATAAAAACAGTGTACTCGGTGATTGGTTTAAGGCCTTCCAAATAGAACTCGTTTGCTCCAGCTGGGATTCGATTCTGGAATTTCAATCAATCATAAAGCTTTTCAAGTAACAGTAAGATCATACCCTTAATTATTGGCTTTATCGAAAAGAATATTTTAAAAAATGAAAGAGTTTTTAAAAAAAGATGCGTTGACCAGTGAAATTTGCGACTCTAGTGAGATAATTTATGTATGAATGTGAAAAGAAAATGATACGATGTGACAGTTCGATATTGAGTCGAAAGAAAAGCTTTCCGCTTTGATCGTTTCTGCCAAAAAAAGAAAGGAAGAGAAGGGGAGCTCCCCCAAACATTCACTGTTTAAATATGGGAAAAATGAGTGCCCCACTTGTTGTTGAAGAGAAGAAAAGGAAAGGCTGACTTATAAGGGCTGACTTTTCAACGAGTAAAGAGTCGAACTGGTTTGGTAAAGCTAAGAATCATTGAACTTTTAGAGCTAAATCTTTTTATGTGTTCCGATCAAGAAATTTCTGATTGATTGATTCAAAAAGAGCAAGAAAAGCAAGGGAAATCTCATAATTTGATTGATTTGATCGGCACTTTCGCTTTCAAAATCAGCGATTTGTGCAAAAGAGGCTGGCAAATGTAGTTTAATAGTTTATGGAGAAATGGATAATGATTTTCGGTAGACTTTGTTTCGGAAGAATACAAATGAATAGTAAGATCCATTTGTCGATTTGGCACCAATGTGTAAAGCTCATTTCGGAGGAAGGAGAGAGCTTCTGATTGGAAGGGAGAACTTTGTGGGTGAATCGTTTCAGCCACAAATACAAATGAATTTGAAGTTTCAGCCCATTTGAATACAAATGAATAGTAAGTTTGGTATTGACTCATAGCAGATAGACAGATCCAATCCTCCTAAAGGGTCATAAAGGTCAAAGATGGTACAAGTGGCTGAAACGATTCACCCTCAAAGTTCTCCCTTCCAATCAGAAGCTCTCTCCTTCCTCCGAAATGAGCTTTACACATTGGTGCCAAATCGACAAATGGATCTTTTCCCTTTTCCCTAACCACATGTCACTCAATTGTTAAGTGAGGGGATAAAAAGGACAGTACATAAATCTTACCCATGCAGGCAACTCTGAGACAACTTTTGTTGACCCATTGTTTAGATAACTAGCTCTAAAATCTTTAAAACAAAAACGAATTGCTAGTAATTTTTGTTATCAAATGAAAAGAACTAAATTTAGTGGGATTATCTCATCAAGTGATCAAGAAAAAAACCCGAAAACTCCATTTTTTCGGATTTTGGCTGTTCGATCATCAAAATGATGACGATTTCTCAGGAAATAAAGCTGAAAACTTTGCTATACAAATAAAAAAACTAAAATAGAATCTTTTGCAAAGGTTTGTTGACGTAAAACTCTTCCTCAAAAGTGTAAAAAGTTTAGTATGCTTTGAATTTGAAAGTTTTTTTGTGAATAACTTGTTGAAAATAAATGTGAGAAATGAGAAAAGGATGCAGATTACGTAAAATCAAAAAAAAACAATGAGTCTTTTTTGTTTGTCAAAAGGTTTTAGAAGTCAACAAGTCGAAAATAAGAGACAGAAAAAGGGAAAAGTGTTTTACTGTGATTCATGGCTTTTCACTTGAAGATGCATATTTTAGGCATTCATTTTCTTTAAATTATTTTAATTGGGACTACGATAAATGACAGGAAACAATCACAATGGATTTGAGTCGATTTTGTGCTTTTTCTTAGCTTAATCAATGAATGTTTGAAAGTTAAAAAAGGAAAAAGTTTCATACAAACAATCCGTGAATCATTCCCCCTTTTGCGCGATTGGGTGACTCAAGTGCTGCACCTTTTCCACCTCACCTTTCCATTCTTAAGTCTACACATGCAAAAGCTTAACTATTTTTTCGAGAAACCAAATAGTTTCTCTATAAGAATGAACTAAGAATTGATTTGACTTGAAAAAAAGAAGTGAAAAGACTTTTCAAAGTAAAAAGTGATCCTTTTATTGCTTTATACTATTTTCAAAAAGTTTAGATGATTGAAAAATTCTGTAAGAAGTAAATTCTTTCTTTTTTGAATGATGGTCTAAGAAAAGGATTCATTCTCTAAAAGTGAAGCCAAAGGAGAGCATTTTGCCGCCAAAAAATTGAAAATTCAACTCAAACAAAGCCGTGTTTGCTAGAAAATATTCGAAATGCTTGAAATCCTAAGGAAAAGATACCAGAAAAAGGATTTCAATGTAAATATCGGTTTTCTCTCAAGGACAACAATTCTTGTTTGAAAGAATTGAGTGAAAAAAGATATTGAGAAAATCTGGTTACCTATATGTGTATAAAGATTGAATTGGTTTTTTGATCTAGCTTCAAAAAGGAAAAGTCTAACGGGAGCGGCAAAATGAAACAATTTATTATATTTTCTGGCTAGATTAGTAATTGTGTTATATTCGGAATAAACCTCTAATAATCATTGTCCCATCAGTACCCTCTCACACACTGCACACCTATATTTGTATAAAGATTGAATTGGTTTTTGATCTAGCCTAGAAAAAGACTAGCGGGAGCGGCAAAATGAAACAAAAAAAGCTATGGCTTTGACCTAAAAATAATTGATAAGATATTGTGGGAAATAATAGCGAAAACATTAAAGAAATTTGTGGAAAATTTGCAAGTTTGTAAAAGGAAAGCAGGGTTTTACCAAAAGATTTGGCAAAAACTCTACTCAAACCCAAATCCGATTGTGGCCAGAGATGCAAATGTGAGTTTTTCTCGCTCAAGGTCATTCGACCTTTTTCTTAGCTTTGAGATTTTAGCGAACATCTGCTGAGACCAAGAAAGTGACACCAAAAGAGTCAAAAACGAGCCGCCACAAATTGAATCTTCTTCCCCGAGTGACAAAGAGATTTTGGGAAAGCGGAAGAGTCAAAGATCCAAGATTTTTCCCCTCAAGCACTATAGAAATCATAATGAACTCACCACGATCGCTTGCTCTTCTCCTTTCGTTTTATAAAAGACAAAAGTGTTCTTAGGCTCAGCATTTTGAATTGTGGCTGAAGTTGTCCATTTGAGGAGAAGAGAAGTTGAAGAGACTGGTTCAAGGCTGAGAATCTGGAATCATTACGATTGCAGTAGTGAGCTCTGATAACTCACCTGTGGTGCATCTGGTTTAATATCTCCAAAGGGTAGTTCAATGGTAAACTCATTCGATTCAGCACTCAACGCCTCGGATCCATCTTTTCTCACCGCTCGAACTCGAAAAGTATACCTAAAAGGAATTTAAATAGTTTTCCTTTAAAAGGATACGTTGTATTTGGGATTAATCCTTTGAGAGTTGTAGCTGGAACATGAGTCTCCACAGAAGTTCCCTCAATCCACGAGCCACCAATTCGATGTACATCAACCTAAAAGTTTAACACTGAGGTCTTAATTTGGTTTTAGATTTGAACTGATTGATTATTAAATCTAATTGATCTGATTGATCTAATTGTTCTGATTGATCTGATTGATCTAATTGATCTGATTGATCTGACAAACCTTGATCTCTTTGATCTTCGACTTTGATTCGTGTGTTGCTTGAAGATTCCACATCACTCTCACATCTTGTTTATTGACAAAAGATTGCAAATCGTCGATGATTATTTCTCGCATCTCCTGGAATTTGTTGTAAATTGTTAAAAATTATTGACTCAAACCGGTTTATAATAGGGTAATTCGGTGGTTAATGGTAATGGCGTCGTGGTTGGGGTGAGAACTCTCAAATAGGCCATTGCTGAGCTCTCCTTGTAAGAGTGGGACTCTCGAATGATGCAAGTGTACCTAAATATTGAAATATATCTATTCAAGATGAATAATACGGGACAAATAAATACACAACTTAACACACAACGCTTACTGCCCTAATACCTCTGAAAAAAGTCGTATATGAGAAAGAGAGCCAAATTTCTAGCTGCTAGGATCGAACCCGTGACCTCCAGACTGGGATACAAGACTCATGGTCATGGGGGCACTTTGAAATGGTGCAAAGAAAACACTTATCTTCGTCTATGCATCAAATTCTTACCATCCTTCATCTTCCGGTTGTACATTTTCGATTCTCAAAGTGTTACTTCCAGTCGTTTTCATTTTTGTTCCAATAATCTTAACTAGTTGAGCTGCTTGACAACTCGCGCATTCTGAAATAATCAATTGAAGAGATTAATTGAATTGAAGAATCAATTTTAAGTTAAACAAACAATACGCACTGAATTTCCAATACTTCGATCCAGCTTTTTGAACGACACAAATCAAATCAGCCCTTTCACCAGCCATCACCGTCGTGTTAGTTGGACCCTGTAATGTTAGCTTTGTCTTGCATAAACAAGTGATATTTTTACCTGCGTAATGAGATCACTATGTGCTCCAGCGGGTCCACTATTCACAACAAAAATATTGTCACTCATTCCTCTTTCTAATCCCATTCCATAGATCTCTGCCTCATCCATTGCCGGCCGAGAAAGGCACTAAAATTGAAATCAAATTTTAACTCTATATTTATTCATTTACCTGAATACTTCCTGAGAAGTTCCGATGCACTTCCATTGTAAGATTGACAGGATTTGTGTAGAAATTTGTTTCATCAGGGATTCCCATTTGATCGATATTGTTAATTAAAGGAGTAGCATTGACATAAACCATTGGAATCTCGTAATGGAGATGTTCAGCAAGACAAGAAAGCTGAAACGAGATTTACTATAAAAGTTGATTTAAAAGTTTACTTGAATGAAACGACCATCTCCTCTTCGGGGTTGAATGGCGAGTTTGACGGAAGTTGGTGCATGGACCACTAGCTTGTAATGGGCTCTTGGCTGATCCTTGTCTTCAATTGAAGGAATATCCTAAAATTCAATCCCTTAGAATAGCGATACTTTGCTTGTTTTCTGATAAATATTGATTTGAAATAGCAAACCTCAAATGGATTCAATCCATGGCAAGAATAGATTCCAGCATCTTGTTGGCTAACATTCTTGATTCTTAAATTTCCCCAAATCTGTCGAAGTGGTCGAATCTCGTCATTGTGAATGATGCCACGTAATTCTTCGCTGTCCTGAAAACAGTGCTGGTTAATAGCTCTGAACAGCCTCATAATCTTGACCTACCCTTTTCCAAACAACTTTCGTATCCTTAGAGAAAACACATTCAAGAATGATATCTTGTCCCATCACAACATCAACGATAATCGGCTTGTTGATGCCTTTTGTTGGAAAAAGAAGTTGAGGCTTGATATCGGGCACAGCTTTGTCATTCAGTTCCTCGTGTCGTCGTTCCTAAAACTCGTATTATAAATAAAATCTAGTTGCCTAACCTTGTTGATCTTAAAAAAGACTCCTTTTGGACTCTTTCTTGAACTGTTTGTGTATGTGTTTCTCACAACACAATAATATTTCCCCTCATCTTCTGGTTGAACAAGAGCAATTTGAAGACCAGATGGAGTGGAGAGATATTTTGTCAAATCTAAATCAATTAGATCAATCAATTAGATTAAAAAAAATCACCTTTATCTGTTTTATCTCCAAAACATCGATCTTTATCTCCATCTCTTTCAAAGCAAACTTCCGGCGGTCCAGGGATTACATCAGGCATTCCAATGCAAGGCAATCGAGCCACTTCACCCAATTGAGCATCCACAAACTGAATATTCACCTTTGATAGAGCCAATTGAATAAGAGTCAGCCAATAAAATCTCTTGAATAATCAAGAAATTTTATTGTGATTTCATTAGCTGGCTCTTATTCAATTGAGAAGAAACTCATGAAAACAATGCAGAAAGAATTATTTCCATTTTCACCAAATACTAATAAGATCAACTATCAAATATTCTGCTAGAAATATTCAAATCCCTTAAAGCTCAAGTTTTGAAATTTTTCTTCTACACTTGTTCTCTTTTTCATTGAGCAGATGGTCCTTTTACTCAGAAATGTCACTTTCAGAATGGAATCGAAATTCCCTTTCCCCTATTTCCTTCTCAACTTAATCTCCATCACTTACATGTTCAGTTGTTCTGTCGAATTTTGTCATCCTTGCTCTTCTCAACTTTATCGGCGGTGAGACGAGACTTGTCTCAACATATTGTCGATTTGAGAGTCGAATCTTGTGAAGAGTAGCCAAGCATTGATAATTCCCCTCAACTGGTTGTTTAGCGCCAGTGATGTTCAGACTAAATAGGCTATAACATTAAAATCTATTCAAAAAAAACAAAAAAAGAATCTCTTTTTAATGAACAAAGCTTACACTCCATCTTTGAGCTCAAATTCGCCTTTCATCTCGCTGACTCTCGTGATCAATTCTCCATCTTTCAACCAACTGAAATTCTCAATTCAGTTAATTCTTTAAGAATTCAGTTTATCTTTATTTAATAATTTACTCGATATGAACCATTCTCGCTTCACTCCATCCAGGCGAGATCCGACAGGTGAGCACAGTGGGACTCTTTCTGTGTAGATACAGCTGATCATATTGCACATTCAATTGGGGAAGCTCGAAAGTCTCTGCAAATCGATGATCTCTAATAGATTAATTGTTTTTCACACTTACGTGATTTGATTTCAGTTTCTACTCCAACTAGCAGAGCTAATAAAACTAATAGATTATCGATTAGTTTCATGGTGTTTCCATAACAAGAATGGCTATCTGAAAGTTAAATTTTAAATATTATTAGATGAGTACAAGGGAAATTCTGGAAAGAAAAGGTATAGAATGAAAAAAATGACCTTCATTATGTTCAAAGATCTTCAAAAAGGTGAACAACAATGTAAAGAGTGACAAGATAGCGAATGTTTGTTAAAGTGTAAATATCAGTGTTGTATGCAAGAGTGCATAATTAGTGAAGGACCAGGAGGGGAGCTCACAGTGGTTTGAAGGGGAAAGGATGGGGAAGAAGGGAAAGAAGGGAAAGGAGGGAAACGTCCCACATATGCAAACAACAAACAGAAGAGGAGACCATTTGAAAAGGATTGAGAAGAGGGTATCCCTCATTGGTGTGGAAGGGGTGGACGGGAAGCGGAGATTCTGTCCCGGACCGGTCTACCATTGTCTTTATTGGAGGAAGAAAAGAAAATGAATGGAGATAAACCGTTTGCAATCTGATACTATCCTATCATTTAGAGATTGACAACTGGTACTCTAGTTCTACTCTAGTTCTTTGGCTAAAATAAGAACACAATTCTTGCTGTAAAACCCTAAAAAAGGTTCTAGAAAAGTTCTTTTTATGAAACCCTGATACAAGTTTACGTAAAAGTTCTCACCTTTTTATTTAAAATATGCAAAAATCAAAACTACAGCTTTTCAACGAGCGACTCTCGAAAAGTGAAAGAGATTAAATATTTTTGGCGCTCACGGGACTTGACTACTAGATTCGTATCAAATTTCGGAGTGGTTTTCCGCTCAAAAAATGAATCCTCGCTAGTCACACTATCTAGGGAAAACAGAGATCTGAGAAATTTGAAAGTGAAAAAGAAATAAGGCTTAAGTTGGCAAAAAGTTTGCAAAAAGCTTCTAAATAAAAAAGACAAAAGTGATAAACGAATTTCCGTTTAAAATGATCAATCGAGAAGACTAAGATATTGATGCCTTGCTCGTTCAAGGACAAACTCTTTTCAGTTCTCTATCTTTTCTTGACAAAAAAGATATTCGATCAACAAATAAAAAGGAAATGGAACTAATTTGGAGAGAAATTTAACTATAAAAGAGAACTTTTCAATTATTCAGAGAAGAAGTAAATAAAAAGTAAAATAAATAAATATAAAATAAGTAGAAGTAAATACAAATTTTAAATTTTAAATTGATCAATTTGTTGCTAAGAAAAAGGATTATAAAATGGTATAAAGAAAAAAAATGAATCCGTAAATTTTTCGGGATTATGATTGGCTATCAATGGAAAGGGACCGGTTTCACGTGTGGATTTGAGAGGTTTTCGATGGAATCTTTTGAATAAAAGGATCAACAGACATCATTATTTAGCATCAATTAGCATCAGAAACATGCAAGAGTTAGAGGAATTCGATGGAGTGAGATTGGAAAGAAATGAGCTATTCATGGATTTTGGGGTACAACCCACATACATACAAGAGTGGGTTGAAAGAGGCGGTGGAATGATAGATAACTATTGGCAATGGTTATTGTACTTAAATTTTTAGTATTAGGGTAGATTAATCTAATTTTAAAGCTTTAAAACAAATAATATTGGGTTGGTGAATTGAAAACTGCGGGCTATTGTCATAAGTGATAGTTTGAGCACTTCCTTCAAAAGAAACCCATTTTGGTGTCAATGGAAAAGTTGTAGAGAATCAAGAATCAAGCTTATATCCAAATTTTCAGAACGATTCAAAAACTGGTTTTCAAGAAATGCCAAATTTTCGAATTTTCACAAAACTTGCATTTTAAGCGAAACTACTAAGTGTATCTTTTTGGAAATTTGGCTATAAGCCTAATTTTTGATTCTCTACAACTTTTCTATTGACACCAAAATGGATTTCTTTTGAAGAAAGTGCTCAAACTGGGACATCTCCAGTCCTCCATTTTTGAGTCTCACACTTGTCTCACACACAAACCAAAATCCTACCACGAAAGAGGAATCCGCAAATTGCCTGTAAAATGGGCAGAAGTCGTCAATAATAATGGAAATTATTTGGAATGAATTGATGGTTTTATGTTGAATAAATTTTAGTTCAAAGTCCAGCAGTTTTCAATTCACCAACCCAATAGTATTTGGTGAAAATGAAATGAATGCTCAATGAAAAAGAGAACAAGTGTAGAAGAAAAATTTCAAAACTTGAGCTTTAAGGGATTTGAATATTTCTAGCAGAATATTTGATAGTTGATCTTATTAGTATTTGATGAAAATGAAATGAATCCTTTCTGCATTGTTTTCATGAGTTTCTTCTCAATTGAATAAGAGCCAGCCAATAAAATCACAATAAAATTTCTTGAATAAATCAAAGAATATTCAGTTTGTGGATGCTCAATTCACCAACCCAATATTTAAAGAAATATGTGTTATTCGTCTTGAAACATGCAAAATTTGAATGCGGAAAGAGGAACGCTAGGATTAGTCTTGTAGAGAGACGGGTTGGGGGTAAAAAGGAACAAATGAGTCATTGTGTGTCGAAGATTAGGACAGACTGCCAATGAGAAAAAGAACAAATCTTTGTTTGAGTCTTTCAGAAAAGATTCAGAAATCTTTGATATCATGACAGGGTCATTGCTTGAGGTAATGTTTGAGGTAATCACCTCAAGCAGCCTGCCTTATTTTGCCCCATATTGATAGGGTGTATTTGGTTGACCCCGAATACTGAAGACTCGTGCCGACTTGGCAAATATATCGAAGATGGAGAACAGATCGACTTTTTGACTCGCAAAACAATCCCATCAAAAATATGGCCATATGGAGTGAGTGTTTGCGCAAAGAAAGATGATAAGCTAATGGAAAGCTTATGCCAAAGCAATAGAGTGCAAAAATAATCAATTGATAGAGTTTTGCGAGTCAAAAATTCGATCTGTTCTCCATTTTTGATATATTTGCCAAGTCGGCACGAGTCTTCAGTATTCGTTTGTCCCTAGAATTTATGTGATTTTTAATTGAAAGGGTTTTTCTGGTGAAAATGAAGTGATGATCAAAGCCTGACCCGCGAAAATGCCGCTATTCACATGCCGAGTTCATTCATCGATCTTGTGGAAAAATCAAAGGAAAATCACATGGGAAATCAATCATTGCAACACTGGGGTTAATGTGGGAAATTGGGTCAGAATGAGAAGAGAATAGGAAAGAAATGGGAAATGAGTGAGAGAATTGGGTATCGGTGCCAAAATCTGTTGTTTGGGATACTCACTTTTGTCTTTTATCGGCAAGAGATCAACAATGACTTACCGAAAACTTACGATCAATTTTTGGCAGATCTGGGTAAGAAGAGTGAATCAGAAATGTTTTCAAGTGTCCAAGAGGCAAACTATTCACGCTTAGAATTAGAGTTTCGAGCTTATCGAGCTTATCTAGAGTCAAACGAGCTTATCTAGAGTCAAACGAGCTTATCTAGAGTCAAACGAGCTTATCTAGAGTCAAACGAGCTGCAATATCTCAACATCTTAACTCATAAATCTTAGAAAAGAACCGATCAGTCTAGGTCATCAACTAAAGAAGAGGTATCAGTGCTATAATCTACGATATGTTGCGTACCCAAGAGTGAAGGGAGAACTCTTTTCCTTTTCATTTCTTGGGAACTCTCCCAAGCTATCGATGTAATTAGATGCTCGATTCTCACTACTTTTGGAAAGTCGAGAAGATTTCACAAACATTCCCAAACAATGCATCATATTCGAGATTTCGCTGCTTAATTTATTAGTAAAAGTTCAATTTTAACATTCAAAAGTCTACGTTGAAGTCTAATAGAAGATTAGAACGATTGTAGGAAGAATTTTGAATGCTAAATCTCATAAATAGAAAATTTCTAAAGGTTATCTCTATAATCTTTTCTAAAAACATTTTTTTAGCCGTACACTTTCTAATTTGAGACTAAAAAACATCCAGAAATTTCTTGTAAAGTCTGGGAAAATCTGTTCAAATGAGAAAAGAGAATGAAAATGAGAAAAGAGAGCTGAAATCCCAAGAGATTCAGGTAATTAGCAATCAAAAGAAAGTAGCTTTTTGTCTAAAAAAGAGCTAAAAAGCTTTTTCTCTAAAAGAGATGCAAAAAAATTGAATTTTCTCTTTTCCCGTGTGTTCGAAATTCATTTGCCTAATCGGGGAATCGAATCTTTCACTTTTTTTGTGTGAAAATATGAATTTTGGGATTTAAAAGAAGAAATTTGAGGAAAAAAATGAAGAAAAACTTAAAGTACAAGATAGTTTTTCGATCTAATATCTTGTACTTTAAGTTTATATGCAAAGTTTTATATGGGATTTATTCAAAAATCAACCCCCCGAGTTTATAAGCAGACTTCCCAGCGATCGTATAAAGCAGCGGTGGCCTAGTGATCGTTGGCTAGAGTATTGCCTAATCGGGGAATCGAATCTTTCACTTTTTTTTGTGTGAAAATATGGATTTTGAGATTTAAAAGAAGAAATTTGAGGAAAAAAAATGAAGAAAAACTTAAAGTAAAAGATGTTAGATCGAAAAACTATCTTGTAAGTAGATAAAAATTATGGATTGGATAAATCATAGCCATAAAAAAAACCCCTCAAATTCCCCTATATGCTAATTTCTGATGCCGGCGAAGATTTACGACTGGCTTGTGGCAAAATTTGAGGAGGTGTAATAAAATATTTTTGGATAGATGAGAATTTGAATTTTTGAATTCTTTTTTGAGGAAAATGAAAGTTTTACATGAAAAAAATAGCATTTAGTAGTCATGGAGAGAAGTGATCGAAAGGAGTCATAAATTAATGATGTGTGCAATGGGCATTGCAAAGCTCAAGAGTTTTTGACATTAGCTTTTCACTGACAAGGCGAGAAACAAGATCTATAGCTTAAAAATTAAAAAAACAAGCTTTATAGAAAAGGTCTCAAAGAAAGAAATGGGCTTAGGCTAAGGTTTAGCTGCCTAGCTTATGTTAGAAAGGATAAAGAATAGCTTAAGATCAAGAATTATATAATGGTGTTTGGGCATTGT